CCAGAGGCAATCGCAAGTGCTAAACAAGCTCACACACCAGCTAAGTATGCACGAAGCTCGCGTGTCTACTGTCAGTGGCTACACCGACACAGGTAAAACATCTCTGCATCGCCTTATCCAACAAAACTTTGGCTACCACAGATGGATATGGATCACCATCGAGTTCCAAAGGAGCCGGCGAGGAGTGGCGAGTGGCGTTTGAGTCCGCCAGCACTGCGCCACCGCCGAGCAAGTCTCTGAGCATCAACGGACGAATAGATCGACGGTTCACGGCCACGGAAGAGAACGGTGACATTGGTTCCAGCCGTCGGTCCACGCCCTCGAGGGCCGCTCCAGCGCCTCCGGGTTCTATGTATAGAGGATGATGACTAAACCGGTAAGTCTATCATCTCTTTTCTCTTGTTTCGTTCTTTCTTCCTTGTTTGTTGTTTTATATCGATTGACTGGATGGATTGTTTTTCTCAGAGTCGGGGAGTTTTGAAAATTTTTTGTGTGATTTTCCACGGATGGTTTGGTGGTGAATAACTTTCCATTTTGCTCTCCCTCTAGGTGCCCACGCTGCCGTATTGTAAATTGGCGGCCTTGTATCGTTACAGTCAGCTCTGCCGTGTCTCGATTATATATATGGTTTCTTTGTTTCTCTAGTCGGTGTCTGCGTGGTCTTAAGTTCTTAGACGCCCGTTTGTTTGCTGCTGTTCCTCGGGCTGGGTTTGGATATGTCGGCCCACTTTAGCGTGGAGCTCGGTCATTTCTTTGATGTTTATGAGGGCCACCTCACACATTCTATCGAGAGCCAGCATTGGAAATGGTTCCTCGATGAGAACTCCCACCTGAGGCAAGATTTGTGGACAAGAGGATATCTTCCATGTAAAGAGATCGAGATTCATCCTACCTCTTCGATGCAAAAGAGAGCTGCGGAGCTGAAAAACGTGGAGGGGATGACGAGCCAGTTGCAAGTGTCCCACAGCGCAATGGGGAGGCCCAGGTGCCACAGTATGAGAAACCTGGACGTAAGGCGAGTGTACGAGAGAGGAATGGGGGTCCGGATGAGCCTCTCGCACACGCTCACGCTCCTGTTGTAGGTGGAGATGTTTTCGTGCTGTAAGAAGCGAGAGGTGGTCACAAGCTATACCGGAACTATTTGGGAGCTACTTACCAGAAGAACTTGCTGTGTTTCTCCCAGGCTCAAGCCATCGATGATCTGGAAGATCATCTGGAGCAAGCAATTCGGCCGGTGCTTGGCATTGAGAACAAAGGCAAGATCCCGCTCGTCTAAGACTTTCCTCAAGTCGGCCTCCATGTCGGATCCCATGATAAGGTGACACTGCACTTGTAAGGGGACAAAACTTCCACGTAAACTTCGAAAACAAGAGTTCCCGAGAGAAGAAAAAGACTACCAACCTTCAGAGCCAGTGGAAAAGCCACGATATACCGCATGAGATCATCGTTGTGGATCCAAGCCTCTGTCAGCCTCGCCAAATTCTTGGTGCTGCTGATCACCTCGGTCCACGTCTTCCTGGCCTCGTCATACCTCGAGTAGGACGTATCGGTCCTAAATACCAAGAGAAGAGCCAATGCCGGGGCCGTGAGCTCGTAAGGCAGCGACGGCGCGTGGAGCACTGGAAGAAATCCCGGCGCCCACCCGGATTCCACGAGAGCGTTGTAGAGCGTGACCAGCACCGAAATCCCCGTGACTGTGAAGACCGGGGGAATCAAAGAGATGATAACCCGGGAGGAGAACGTCGAGGCCATATGGCGGGCGTGGCGGAGGGAGCTCCTGTGCCGCAGCCAGTCGTTGTTGGAGTAGAAGGCGCGGCGATTGGGCATATTTTGCTCCTTCTGCGCGTCGGCCCACTCGGGAACGCTCGCAATCCACCGAAATATGTCGAGCCTGGCCTCGCGGATGCCGTCGAGCGAGAATGGATTAGCGATGATCTTGCCGCGCGGCCCTCGCCATTGCCGCGGTTCTGGAATCTGGCAGAAAACCTGGAAAACAAACCTCCGCTGCTGCCGATGGCCGCGGCCCCGCGCCACCGCCGGTGGGAAACGCTGCTCTCGATCCAATGCGTATCGATTCATCCTTGAATCGAGCTCCCGGACCGCGAATCCGTGCGCTGTCGAGCCGCAAATGCGATGGACGAACTAGGTTTTTAGCTTACCGCTTAAATCCGAAAGAATATCTCATTGATGCTTGCCACGTCTACAGTAAAATGCCACGTATGCATACGCAACGTATATACCATAATAAACGAATAAACCTGGAAACCATGGAAAACGAATATACCACTGCGTCTCGTCGAGTGGCTTTTCCTTAAATCCCTGTACAAGAAAAAGAACAAACAAACGCGACTACTACGTTGCTTTGGAGCCACCGTGCTTGGCCTGGAGAGCTTGAGCTTCCGCCAGTGAAAGCGCCATAGCCAGCATCATCTGCTCTTCAAAGCTCTCGGGCACTACACTCGCAGTTGACGCTGCCGAATCGTTCGCCGCCGGTTGTAGCAGAGCTGCCGCTCCACCGGGATTACTTCCATTCGTCCCAGGAGCAGCAGCACTGGCAGCTCCACCACCATTCCCTGGATCATCCTCCTCCGGAGCTTCCCACGGCAGTAGCGATGGCACGCTGCTACAAAAGCTTGTCCCAGCCTCGACAACCTCGGACCCCTGGTCAAGCAACGCATCAGGCGACACTTCCACGCTCATCCCTCGACGAATCCATCTTGTTAAGTTCTCGTTATTGTTGCTGGTGTTGGTGCTGGTCATGCTGGTGTTGGTGTTGGAACCTGTTGCTCTTAGCGTTGTCAAGGCCATTGCCGCTGCCTCTACACCCGATTCCTCCACGCTCGACTTCTCCGCTTTCTCCTCAGTCAAGCTCTCGTCTGTCCCAGAAACTATTCGTATATGTTCTTCCAGGGACTGCGTCTCGCTGGAGCCGTGAGCGTTTGAGACGGCCCCACTGTCGTTGGACTCGGCGTCACTCTCCCCGGCCGGTTCCATCCCTCCGGTGTTTCCAGTCACCTGTCTCTCGGCCAGTGCGGCGATAGCGGAGGCAAAGCCTCCAGTGACGGACCCCCTCCTCCCTCGAATCTCCGACGGCTCCAGGTTCGTCAGTGGCGAGTCTTGGATCTCATACTGCAAGCCATTCAATGCCGATGGGAATGGATGCTCGGAGATGCTGTCTATTGGACGTTGGTTTCCTTGTTCCTGGGAACATAGAGCTCTGGTTAGTAAACGACAAGGTCTCATAAATTCTTCACAATCTAGCTACCTGGATAGAAAGCCAGATGGCCTCCATGACCATTATATCCTCGAGATCCAAGTCAAAATCTTCGTCTCTGCACGGCCAAAAGGTGACAAAAAGAAAAAGAATAGACGAATGAGCAACCAAAAGAGACAAACGCAAGACTTTTTGTACCTGTTATATGGAGCATATCCTGGGCCATCACCCGACGAACTATTGCTCCAAGCAGCACCTCTTCTTCTGGCGTTGAATGACGAGGAGTTCCTGGCGGATGTCGAAGAAAACGTATTATGTCTATTTGAATCTCTTTGGCCTCCTTGTTGCCACGGAGATTCTGAATCAGACCTTGATGGATAAGTAAAAATGTCGGTTTGAGGGTAGCCGATGGCCGTGTTGCCGTCGGCATTTGTCCATGGATCCCAGCTCCTTTCCGGCGGTAAAGCTGGCTCCTGGGACCTTTCCTCTGGAGTTGTTGTTTCCTGCTCGGCTTCCCCTGCTGCAACTGCAACTATTGGCGAGCCTTCTCGGGGAGCTTGTTCTTGCCTCTGCAAGCGCGCTTCCTCGTCCTGAATTTCTTGTTGTCGCCTGATTCTGATCTTTGCCTCTATAACCTTTTGCTCTTCCTGGAAACACAAAACACTTCATGCTGGTGCAAGAGAAGCATTGACAAACCATACCGCTTGCTCGACACCCTTTTCCTCGAGGGTCTTCGCGCCAAGATACTCCACCGCGTAGTTGGGCGTTTTGCAAAACGGACACCTACAGCAAGTCAAGAAGAACGGCTTAGAAGAGATACTTAAAAGCACTGCTTGGAGTCATACTGTGTAGGCCGGGTAGAATTCGGAGATTTCACTTGCAAGAAACACTCTGAAAAAATCAAAGAAAGAAAGAAACCAAACACACAGAGTAAGTTGAAACGAAGAGAACCGATAGAGAAATACCTGTGCAAATGCCTTTAGTACAACACTTCGATCGATTCAGGCTTGGATAATGCTGCCACCAAGAACAAAGAAAATTAAGAAGAAGGTACTACACATAAACCAAAGACTTACCAAAAAACAAATGGGACACTCGTCAAGATCGATGGCAGCATCCTCGGCTCCCGGGTAGCAAGGAGCAAGCTTGGCATCGATGATAAGCCTTCTCAGTTTCTTGTGATCGACGTCCTTGTGCTGATACAAGCCCTGGGGCCTCGTGTAGCGATCGTCAATCTGGGCGCGCCTTCTCGCGAATTTGTTGCCCATGACAACGGCTCGAGCACGCTATCCCGGAACTCGTCCTAGCATCTATCCCGGAATATCACAATCCATTGCTCGATTTACCCGCGGGACGAAGAAACGCATGGCGCCAATGCCCTAGCGAGGCCAGGACGCGGAAGAAGAGTAGCAATCCCTACCGAAGCTCTCCACGACGAATCGTCTTATTCTTTCTCAATCGCGGCCGAGGAGCAATCAATCCATCCATTCCGCGCAGCAGTGCCCAGTGCCGATGCGCGACGGCAGCGCTGTGGAACGATCAATCGATCGAGGGACGCGATAGGGACGCCGAAACGCAACAACGCGATACAGGGAGCCCTAGAAAAAAATGGTACCACGAGGGAATATCCAACCCTTTTGCATTTCTTTCGGCGTGGACGGCCACGATTGCGAGGATCGCAAACCGACGGCTCGATATTGCGCCCTCCACGATGCTCGAGACCATTTCAACTTCTTGGCGAAATTTCTTGCTATAAAACTCAGCCTCGATGACGATCAAACTTAAATCAAAGCTTCGCCATGATCATCTCTACCAAGTTCCTCCTCTCTAGCTTCCTTGCTCTGTTGATCTATGGCATTCCAAGCACTGCCCTCTCATTCCGTGAAAGCACTCAGAGTGATGACCTCTCGATCCTTGCAAGTACACAGGATGATTTCTTTTCAATCCTTGCAAGTACACAGGATAATTTCTTTTCAATCCTTGCAAGCACCCAGAGTGATTTCCTCGGCGCTCACAACTCCGCAAGAGCTTCAATTGCGACGTCTCCAAGAATCCCTCCTCTCTCCTGGAGCAATGACGCCGCGGCATTTGCAATGAGATGGATCACAACGCTGAGAGACACGAGAAATTGCAACATGGTTCACTCGGGCAACAGAGCATATGGGGAAAACTTATACAAATGGATGGGAAGTCCTGGATTGCCATCGCCAAATCCTGCGGAAGCCGTGAAGTCATGGGTGAACGAGAAGAGAGACTATCGGTATGCAAGCAATAGCTGTGCCGCTGGTAAGGTTTGTGGGCATTACACCCAAGTTGTGTGGAGGAACACCAAGAGAGTGGGGTGTGCGTCTATCAAATGTCCTGGAAATATGCTGCTTGTGAGTTGCAATTATGATCCACCTGGTAATTGGGTTGGGCAGAAGCCATATTAGCAGATTAGAAAGTTCCCATGCATTTTCACAGCATAGCCACAAATCCAATAAGTTTTCTTCTTGAGAATCATGGCAGCGTGTGTAGTTTTCTCGTTGACATCATAGCTTATAATAAATGTAAACTCACTGTTTCAATCACAATCTATCAGCAAGGCCAAATTGATTAATACTTTTTTGACGCATTTTGTTATTATTGAAACGTCAAGTGAATTAGATGTGGCAAGAACTATGAATGAATTAAATATTGCCTGGCATATAAGTTACCCAGTTGGCAAAGTTTTTCTGATTCACATGTTATCAAGAATCTATTGTTGGATCTCTAGGGCAGGATCCAGATCCATGCAACTGTTCTAGCACCAATTGTGATGATCTGCACATAGCAAGTATTAGGAAATACTTTTGAAACTACATTACACTTTCATGATATCCTCACAACTCAGATCCTCACCATTCCCTCTAAAGTAACCATGTCAAATGTAGCGTTAGATGGCAGCAATCTTGTGTGGCACCAGCGCTGCATCGTGCACACATTCCGTGATGGGTCTGTCAATACGTCAGCAGACTCTTCACCCAAGGGGCCAAAAGGAAGAAGCCTTGGATTGAACATACCATCACCGCCAAGCCCCAGAATTGCAAGGAGCGCCCCTTTGTCGCTCATCCAGCCCTCCATTACAGGAACTACAGGAACATCGTTCTCACAATAGACCCTGCACGAAGGAAACAAAGCTTTTTCTCCTTGATCCAAAGCTTTTTCCGTCTCAACCAGTGTACTACTAATTTCTTTTCTTAATCCTTGAGCGCAGCCTTGGAGAGAGCAACCGAGCTTCCTCCATTCGCTCGCACCTAGACAGAGCGTCGAGGAGGTTCCAGTAACTCCAAGATGAGAGGAGAAGGCTCGCATGCCCTAGTCTTACCTGCCCATGCACGTCTAATTCACTATAAAGTGTGTTAAGGCTGCTGTGCGAGATTAGTGTAAAGTTAGTGACAGAGCAAAGAGCGGTGTTGAGACTAAATTTGTACCTAACATCGCCGGCTCACTCCCAAGGCTGGCCCGAACCTAAAATGGACAGCTGAACGATTAATGTCACAGAAATAGTAACTTTTTTTTAATGCGATTAAAAAAATTAGTACTGGAGTTTAAATAATCTTAAGCTTGCCTTAAAAACAATTCTGACTTTTTAATCTTTTGTACAACAACTCAAAAGCAATACTGATTTATTACGATGAGAAAATTAGACACATGCCAATGAGGCTATGCTTTGCAGAAGAGAACTTATTGGATTTGTGGCAATTTTATGCTGTGAAAATGCATGGAAAACCACTTCATAAAGTGAGTTTTCTAAGTTGCTAATATGGCTTCTGTCCAACCCAGTTACCAGGTGGATCATAGTTACAACTCACAAGCATCGCATTTCCTGGACATGTGATAGAAGCACACCCCACTCTCTGGGTGTTCCTCCAGACAACTTGGGTGTAATGCCCACAAACCTTACCAGCGGCACAGCTATTCGTTGCATACGTATAGTCTTTCCTCTCGCTCACCCATGACTTCACGGCTTCCGCAGGATTTGGCGGTGGCAATCCAGGACTTCCCTGCCATTTGTATAAATTTTCCCCATATGCTCTGTTACCGGAGTGAACCAGGCCGCAATTTTTCGTGTCTCTCAGGCTTGTGATCCATTGCGTTGCAAATGCCGCGGCATCAGTGCTCCAGGAGAGAGGAGGGATTCTTGGAGATGTCGAAACGGAAGCTCTGGCGGAGTTGTGAGCGTCGAGGAAATCACTCTGGGTGCTTTCAAGGATTGAGTAGAAGTCACTTTGGGTGTTTGCAAGGATTGAGAGGATATCACTCTGGGTGCTTGCGAGGATTGAGAGGCTGCCATAGATCAACAGGGCAAGGAAACTAGAGAGGAAGAACTTACTAGAGATGAACATGGCTAAGCTGTAATCTAAGGACATCAAGTTTTATAGCAAGAACAAGTTCGATTGAAATGGTCTCGAGCAACGCAATATGACGAACATTCCGTGACGATCATCCTTAGAAGTTGAAAGGAGGGTGGAATGTTCAGCCCTCGATTTACGCTCCTTGCAATCGCGGCCGTCCACGCTGAAGAAATGCAGCGCTGTTTCAATCAGAAATTGAAAAAAAAGCAAAATTCATAGAATAAAAGGGCAAATAGTAACATTTTAGAAGTTTAGTTTGACTTCTCTCCTCTAACTCAGACTCATTGTTGTTATTACTCACGTTCTGCTGACCAATGCTTCTGATTGTGATTGCAGCAATTGTAAAAAAAGAAGTCGTTTTGGATTTTACATGATTTAAAACAAATAATATATTACATTGGTGGCCATATTAACGTATGCAGAAAACCTAGTGAAACATAAAGAAATTTCTTGAGTACACACAACTCTGGAAGTTAGCTTTGATAGAATTTGTGGGGTTCCTTCTCCGAGTTCTTGGATCTAAAACAGCCCTGATTTCTCCACACTTCATCCTCGACCTCCCTCGCCATGAAGGTCACTGACTCCTTCGCCACCTCGGCCTTGAACGCGGGCATAAACGGGGATGTTGAGAACGGCCAAAGACGACAGTTGCGCCCCTTCCTTCTATTCCCGGCCCAAGATTTCCACTAGAATGGATCGAAAAAGTCTAGCTCGTGTTATACAGGGGAGGAGGATGACGTCTTTGATAGGGCAGCGAGGCTGGGATTTCCAATCTTACAAGTTATCCAATCTCGACGCACGAGTTCTTTGACGAAGGGTTTTAAAACTGTCGGTCTTCTGTGAAATAGAAAGCTATTCGTGTCGCGTATCCTTTTACTGAGGGTTTCTAAAATACACGATGGCGAGCATTGGTGAATTTGAGCGAGCTTGTGAGAATGGAGCTTCGGTCCAGGAGGAGCTGCTGGCCGGCATTCTCCGCAAGAATGCAAGCACCGATTATCTCCAGAAGTTTGGGAGCCCCCAAACTCCAGCTGCTTACAAATCCCAGGTTCCAATCGTATCCTATGAGGATGTCGCCGGAGAGATTGAAAGGATTGCATCCGGGGACGAGAGCCCAGTTCTTTGCCAGGACCCAATTATTTGCTTTTTCGCGAGGTAAGAATGTCTTTGCCGGAAGAACAAAGCAAAATCTCTCTTTTTCTAGTTTAATTGTCAAAATTTTCTAATTCCAGCTCCGGCACATCATCTGGGAAGCACAAGATTATTCCAGTCACTGCTGAGAATATGTCCGCCACAACGAGAGCAATAGAACTTTCCAGTGCTTACAAAGCAAGGTATTTTGCTAATCTCAATATATCTTGTGAAGAACTTTGATGGTTCTGTGGAAATCTTTTAGATGTTTCCCGGAGCTTGGAAGTGGGAGAGTGCTCGGTTTGTACTACTGCATCGATCAATTTCATACCAAGGCGGGGATCTTGGTGGGAGCTGGCACCACTTACACGATCAAGAACTACAGAAACTTCTCAAGTAAGTTCACGACTCCGTACGAGATGATCGTGTCCGGGTCAAACTGGCGGGAGCTGACGTACTGCCACTTGCTGTGTGGCTTGATCCAGCGAGACGCGGTGGAACACATCGAGTCGATGTTTGCCTACACCATCTGCGAGTCTCTGAGGATCCTCGAGAGCGATTGGGAGGAGATTTGCAACGACATAAGAACTGGCAGCTTGATCAGCGGCAAAGTCACACACGCAAAGCTCCAAGAAGCTTTCGCGAGGTTAATTCTGGATTATAACGAGCTGGATCGTGTCCGCAATGCCGAGGCCATCACCAAGATTTGCAGCAGAAAATCATGGTCTGGAATTCTTTCCTTGCTCTTCCCGCGAGCAAAACTGGTTTCCACAGTGGTGACCGGGGGGATGGCACACTTTGTTCCTCAGTTAAGAGATTACGCAGGTGTCAAGCTTCCAATCTCCGGGAAAGACTACTACTCGTCTGAGGGAGTTCTTGGGATCAACACAAACCCCGCTTCTCCTCTTGAGGAAGTCGTCTTCACAATTTTACCACACATAATGTACCACGAGTTTCTTCCGCTCGGTGCTAATAATCCAGCTGGTGAAATCCTGGCTCCACACGAGGTTGTCGTTGGGCAAGAGTACGAGATCGTCATCACGAACTTCGCAGGTTTGCCATCTTCTATCTTTTCTTGCAAATTTCTCACCCGAAGTGTTCTCTTTTCTTTAAGGATTATATCGATACCGAGTCGGGGACGTGGTGAAAGTATCGAGTTTTTTCCATGGAGTTCCTCAGCTGGCTTTCAGCCACCGCAAGAACGCGGTTCTGAGCGTCCAAAATGAGATGGTCGACGAGCAAGAGCTCCAAAATGTGGTGATGGAAGTATCAAAAGAGGCAGGGATCGAGGTGGCGAACTTCACAGCCTATGGCAATTCCACCGCTGTTCCTGCGCACTACGTGATCTTCTGGGAGCTCAAACGCAGAGAAGGGATCAACAGAGAGCTCTTGGAGAGATGCTGCTCGAGTATAGACAGGTCTTTCAATCCGGGATACACTGGAAAGAGGCTGGATGAAGTGATCGACTCGCTGGAGCTGGTGATTGTCAAGGAAGGGACGTTTGAGAGGCTGATGGAGGAAGCTGTGAGGAATGGAACATCGCCAGCGCAGTATAAAACTCCAAGGTGTGTGACCTCTCCAAGAATGCTGGAAGTTCTAGAGTCTGGACGCGTCCAGAGCTACAAGAGTGGGGAGATGCCTAGATCTGTGTTAGAGAGCTGGGAGCCAAGCTTTCCACAAGGCAGTGCATCGCGAGATGCCTAGAATATACCTGAAAAAGCATCCAGATTTGTCTCCAACAGAAGTCCGCCCCTCACCTCATTTTGTCTGGCTGAGATTTCTAAGAACAAACATAGTTAAGGTAGCAAAATCATAGTCAATACATACATTGGGCCAATTTCATGAGTTTTTCAAAGGTATAACAGAATACAACCATTAAAACTTGATTTGAATCATTGAAGCTGGAGGAGATTTAGTTGTGACAATTGCGAATCCACCGCCACAGCTAAGATGGCTAATCTTCTTAAAAATTGCATCAACAAGAACATTGCTGCAGAAAAGATTGAGCTCTTGGTGGAGCTGCTATGTCTATTCCATTATCTTCCCCACTATCAACAAGATCCCATTGGAAAAAAAATCCTGTCCCAATTTCACCAGCTTCACAAGACATTATGAATCTTAGCAACATCTGGTTAAACCAAAAGAAAATTCTGAATGAGAAACAATGCAATGTACCTGAGTGTAGGATTTGGTTCTGAAGTTCATCCTAGAAATCTAGAGGCAAGGGTAAGTTTCCATTAAGAATGTGTGCTGCGTTGACGAGATCATTCTCATCAAAGGGAGCTTGTTGATTCGTTGCCAATGTCATCTCAGAGATAAATGCCAAGAATCCTAGTAAAACTTGCTTTGTGTTCTATGTTGATGTCTTTGCTGTGGCTACTTCAAAACCTTAAGCTGCTTGACCATGTAGAGATCTTTAGCTTGTTGGTACTGAAGTTCCTATTTATTATAGGGCTTCCTCTAGCAAACTCTCAGCATGGAGGTTGGTCACTCTCATGTAGAAACTTTTTGCCAAAAATCCCATATCTAGTCTTATGGGATTTTCAGTAACCCACTTACCCATACTTGTGATGGAATACTTGGCTACAAACTTGTTACTTGCCATTGAGGAACTTTATACCCATTGCAAAGTAATGAAGCAAGGGTAAGTTATTGCCTTCACCACAGCCTCAAAAACGTCTGCTAGAACTTCCTAAATTTAGGCATGTAGCCACTCTTTATTAGTAAATCACATATTTCTACCACTAAAAGCTTGAAAGGAATTTATGAGTGGTTTGGCGAATTTGCTTATTGAAGTGTTGAGACAGATATTTCTTCCATGATGTTGTCAAAGTTGGTGTCTGTAAATATGATGGACCATGCATGTAAAGCAATGGTGACCACCTTCATCTCCAAGAAGAGAATGCAATGCATAATAAACTTAATGACAGCTCAAGGGTCTCTCAATACCATATGCCAGCTTTCACATCCTTGCAAAGCTTTATTCTACCTGGCATCACCAATGGAAATGCACCAGCTATCCATACCACATTTTGCATGGTGTTCAATGGCTCCCACATGCATGGGGCAGGTCCTCCTCAAATGCAGGCCACTGTATCAGTGCATCCCTACACTCATTGCATACTGTGTAGGGTAACACAATTGTGCATAAGCAATTGAGCTGCATCTTCACCATAAGGATTAAGAACATGCTTTTATTTCTTATAAGGAAAATTCATCTCATCTATATCAAAGTATTCAAGCAAAATAAGTTGCATTTCGCCTCATGTAGCTTATTTTGTTGGCCCCTCACATCATCCACCACCAACTGATTACCGACAAATATGCAATACACAAAGTACAACCAAGGGGAAAACAAGTTTGAACATGGATACAAAGCTTATGAACTCAAGGACATAAAACCCACGAATTTGGAGCCAATACAATGTTTTAACTCAACTATACAATGTTTTAACTATTTTGACCTCAATGTTTTATATTTTTTAACACTAAAAAATATAAGTCTTCAATGAGTATCTTGATTTATGCATTTTTATTTATTTATTTATATAGCTTTATCATGGCAGTAGGCACATCATGTTCTGTTTATGCTCTACTACTTCAAGTAATTTATGTGAAGAGTAGGATATATTTTATATCAAGATGGGAACATTGTATTAACTCACTTTTGTGCCAAAGCTAAATGCCTACTAAATGCTATAAAGTTCATAGCTAATCTCCTATGATGACAAGCTATTTGATTGTCATTTCTTACTTACATATAATGCATATTTTAAATAAAGAATTGTATTTATAATCAATGCTCACCCTTCTACTTTTTGAAACCTGCACACGCATGATAAATTGTGATGCCTAAATTGAGACAAAAAGTCACATACCTTACCACAACATCCACAATGGAGGCATTATGAACAAATCCTTGCACTCGTGTTTGCACAATTAGTCTTCACCCACCAATCAATCTTTTCCCTCAAACTCCTCAAAACCTACACATACAATAAGGGATCAAATGTATTGCAACACATATGGGGATAAGCTCATGAAAAAAACCTCATACTAGTGTTGCTTGCAAAAACCATAATTGCACTTCTTATGTGCTCAGAAGACAAGTTGCCCATATCTTTGTAAGAGAATAAGAGAGTGGCAAGCAAGAAACGACCTAGCAAAGAGATATATGTGGCAACATGATTGCATGCACCCATAAATGCTTCAGATGGCAAATGGTGTAAATCTATACAACAGTTTTCGCTTTAATTAAAAACGCTGTAACATTTCCATTTTACCCTTTCTAATATGGCAATGGCCCTTTTCTAGTCTTCTATATTTAACACGATGTGGCCTATGGACCCCAAACATATTACTTTCTAACCCTAGCAATTGAAATGTGATCAGAATATGTTTAAAAACCAAAAATCAAAATCACATAGACTCCCTTTTGGCCACCACATCATTCATGTATATTATGCAAAATTAAAACCCTTTCAATTGAGTGCAAATTATTTGCTGATTAAATATTTTAAAAGTTTTTTTTGTCCTCCCAACTTGTTGGTTAGAGACTAGGCTCTTCTCTTTGTTGGTAATAAAAAAGGTATGCAGAAAACCAGTCAAACACATATTTTTTCCGGTAATCACAGCGAACTTTGGGTAAAAACACCTCTGTAAGTTGGCTTGAATTGGAATTTGTGGAAAATTATAAACATGATATAATCCACGAAGATAATTACTTGATCCTGCAAAAACTCGTCCATGCAGATCTCCCCTCAAGCTGCTCCACCATCTTCGCCAGTGCTGCTGCCACCATCCCTTCCTGGAGCTCCACTTCCTGCCCGTCAGCACCGACGCTCCAAGCCAGTGCCCATTGCTCGTCTCCGCATCAAGCACCACCTGCATTCGACACTTGCTCTCGCGAAAACTCGCTCTCCATCGCCAACGCCAGCTTCTGGCAGCCCTGGATCTCTTTGGAACCTCAGCCTCGAGCGCTACACGCCCCGGACACACGTATGCCGTACACTTCGTGACGGCCCCGCGCAGGTACGCGCCCCACTCCCAGCGGGCATGACCCCTGCCTCTCCTCGCACACCTCCACAGCGCGACAAACCTTGCTAAAGTTGGCAGGACGACGCGCTTGAGGTACTGGAAAGGTGGCGAGAATGGTGCCACCGTTGAGGGCGAAGGTGGAGCTGCCGGATCCGATGCGCGGGTGGAGTCTTGGTCCAGGTGTCAAAACCCTAAACTAATCAGACATGGGGTTCGTGATTCAGTGCCCGGTGGTGAGCTTCGAGGATGCCGCGAAGAGAAATACTCTTGGTTTTCTAGTGAGTATTGGCGCGAACAAGGCTCGGGCTGTGAAGAGCAGTACGGATTGTCCCGGGTCAAGAGCGTTCGGACATGTATACAGGGGAAGGACAAGTTTGCGTATGTTGTGGTGGATGACGCCTTTGATACGGCAGCGAGGCTGGGATTTCTAGGAACAAACCACTGATTTCCAATATTTGAATGGAATAAAGTTTCTTGGGAATCCGAGTTCTTTAAAATTGTCCTCTTTGGTGAAATAAAAAGCTATTCGTGTCACGTTTATCACGTTTAATACACGATGGAGAACATTGGCAATAATGGAGCTTCGGTCCAGGAGGAGCTACTGGGCGGCGGAAGAAAGGGAGCACCCATTATCTCCAGAAGTTTGGGAGCCCCCAAATTCCCAATCGTAACCTATGAGGATGTCGCCGGAGAGATTGAAAGGATTGCGTCCGGGAGGGCCAGTTCTTTGTCACGAGGTGAAATCCTCGCTTGACACGAGGTTGTCACTGGGCAAGAGTACGAGATCGTCATCACAAACTTCGCAGGTCTTAGTTTCTATCTTTTTCAACTTTTTTTTCTTTCTTTTTTTTCTCAGGATTATATCGATACCGAGTGGGGATGTGGTGAAAGTATCGAGTTTCTTCCATGGAGTTCCTCAGCAAACTCAGAGAAGAGACCAGGAGAGAGCTCTGGGAGAAATGCTGCTCGAGCATATACAGGTTTTTCAATCTGGGATACACTGGAAAGAGGCTGGATGGAGTGATGTCTAGGTTTCGTGAGAAGCGACAAAAAGAAAATTTGTGGTGATTCTATAAAAGGGAAGATTTTTCTAAATTTTAAACCCTAGTATCATATGTTGATCAATTTAAAAAGTTTACATGAAGAAAACTAGAGAAGAATTGAAAAGTTCTTGGATTGTAAACAGCATGATATGTCTCTTCTTCCCATGACCAGACTCCCCAATGAAAACATATAGTAGATAGTTTAGCTATGATTTTGCTTTTGCATTTGTCTCTTGATAACAACCATACTTCAAATTATTGAAGGGATAGGGATGTTAATGCGAAGTTAAATAATTAGAAATTCTAGAATATTTAAGAATATCTTAGGTATATCCACATCTATATAAAGATTAGTGTTTCTTTAGCTAATAAAAACTTCAATTAAATTTAAACAGATAAATTTTCTAGAATGTTAAATATTTTTCATTCAAACCTATAATAAAAAAAACTAAATATAGATCAAAATAATTCATGTTAATTAAACATCACATATGTACCTCTTAGGATATTGCAAGTAAAGTTCTAAACATATTTACATTTACATGTATATGACTACCAAAGGCTATTATATATATAACACAGTTGAACATGATTAAAATAATGTGAAAAAACCTAATAAAAAATCTAGGAGAAATTTATATTGTTGTTTTTAATTAAGAATTAATATTAGTTAAATTTGTTCAAACACAAACAGAAAGTGACTTATAAGATAAAATACAATTACACTCCAACTCAATCTCTACTCCTCTATTTAAGAAGCTTTTTTCTAAGCAAAATACTTTTTATGTTAATATGATGTGGGTTTGGATGCTAATCTGACATTGTTTAAGAGACAATAAACAAATGCACACTTAGGTGTGCATGAGTTTATTCTTCAATTAATGGTGTACTGAGCTTAAATAGATTTATACTAATTGAAAATATTAGCATTAAACACTAATTACATATATGCACTCACAAAAGTTAGAAAAAATAATTTTGTTGTGCGTTGCATACAGCAACGCTTGGTTTGCTTAATTGTAGTGTCATTCTTATTTAGTATTTTTGAATAATTCAATTGATTGATAATTATAAACATGTTTATAATCTATAAATCAATATTAATATTATTCCATTAAAATAAATAAGAATATACTAAAAAGTGTTTAGGAAAATTTATAAATTTTTAATAGAAGATTAATCTAAATAAATAACAACCGTTAGATGGTAGAATATCCTAGAATATCTAAGCATATTCTAGATATACCTACAGGTTTTGCTTAAGCAAACCAAAAAGTATAATACAATCTTAAACATAGAGCAATATTGTAAGCCTTGTAATTAAGCACAAAACATTGGTTAGATCTGTGACTACGTGGAAATAAAGCCAGGTGCCAAAATTTCAAAATATTATGTGCAATATTAGAATCATAAGAATTAAACTTTTTGCAAAATTGTGTTAGAATCATAAGAATTAAACTTTTTGCAAAATTGTGACAAAAAGGTAACATTACAACTACTGGGCGCTCCTTCTTGGGCCACGGGCCGCCACTGGTTGGTTGACCACATTTCCAATCACAGCATTTTAAAAAGTATTAGAAATCTCAACGCCACGCTATCTCAAAAATTTTGGTTGGTTGCTTGGTTTTGGTGCTTTGCCGCGTCATCAACCGTACAGGAATCCATTCTACCGTAATTCCGTGCAATAGTCTTGCCGCCGTACAGATCCCCTGTTCTTGGAAATCGCGGTAGGCAGTCGCGATCTTGCTCGCGCTGGAGCGCCAACGAATGGATAATCGACTGCCCAGCGACGAGGTAATTAGGTCATTTTCCATCGGCGGGACGAGGAGGACAATGAAGAAAGATCACGAGAATGCGAAGCCCAGCTCAGCTCCATCCAGCAAGCGCCGGATTATGGGCGCTCGCGGCCCCGAGGAATTCCACTGCCTGGGCGCGCTGGACATCATCAAGGAATCAGTGGCAGCGCTGCGAGCAATCTCCTCGCTCTTCTTCTGGGTCGCGGCGCTCCTCGCCACGCCATTCTCCATCGTCGTGCTCTCCCAGGCCTGGATCACGTCCCCGGTGGTGGAGAACTGGGCCGCGCGGATCGAGGCCAGCGCTCTCGCCACCCGCGGCGGCGTCTGGTTCCTCCCATCCTACCGTGCCGCCTGCTTCAAGCTCGTCGACAACCTCGTCTCCCACGCCTTCCAGCTCCAGTATTCTGAAGCTCAGGTATCCAATCGCAGCACTCGTGATTTGACCAAGAAAACCAGTGATCGTTACCCCAAAAGTTATTGAATCTCCTCGTCATCAGCTTGGAATTTACCAGACAATAGTTCCACTGCAAAGCAGCTTGGACTGGAGAACACCCTCAACATCTCGCTGGCCTCAATGGCCCAGCTCCAAAACGCGAAAGAGGTTGTTCTTCAAGCGGCTAATCACCACCCTTTCAGTGAAGCCCCAAACTCCGACCTGGGCCGATAGACGGGCACCAAGTTCCTCTCCTTGCCCCTCGCCGCTCACAGGCAATTGTCATCGATGAGGATCGTCCTCTCCATATCGCTATCCTCGCAACATTTTCACATTCCTTCTCTCTCGAGATGCTCCAGGGACTGCTGGAAATCCCAGTGAAGCCACAGTCTTGTAAACAAGGGGATTGTTTCGCTCCGCTGCTATTCTCACGCCCGGATCTCGTTGAGAGCGCATACAAACTCCGGGCCCCTGTATGCTAGAGCCAAATTGCCACCCGCGGCGGCAAAGAAGCGCGATCCTTGCCCTAGCGCGCATCCGCGGCGGCGGCACGCATCCAAGGCGCCGGCCAGCGACCGGATCGTAGCTCCGGGGATGGATTCCGGGCTGCTGGCTATGCGGCGGCTGTGCCGGCTTGGCGACACTGAGATCAATGGTGCGGAGCCACGGCTGGCACCTGCCTGCGCACGGGTTTCAGGTAAATACGGCGCCGTGGAATTCGACCAAGTGAGCGAGCTCTTTTTGCAGGTTGTGGCGATCACTGTGTTCTTCCTCCTCGTAGTCGCGTACTTCGTGTTTTTCGCGCCTTTCATTGGGCCCAATCCGTGGCAGTATATCGTAATTGGGTGTTACTCGATGAGTCTTGGTGAGTCTTTCTTCGCAATTTCTCACTCTTGGAATTTGTTAAGCGCTCAATTTCGTTAACTTTGCAGGCACTTGTGGTGTTCGTTCTTTACGTCAGATGCACAGGAATCAATCCTGCGGACTCAAAGCTACCTCTTTGCAGCTAGCAAGTACCTGAGCTAAACTTCTTTGCAAAAACAGATCGTGGATTTGGCAACCTTGACAGATCGCGTTGGGCAACGAGATTGGAGGTATCGTCCTCTCTTAGAATTGTTTTTCTAACTCCATGGCAAAACAGGCATGTTTACTCCCAGCGACGAACTCGCGGAGGAACTGTCCCAAGCGTCAAGCGCCGCCGGAGAGAAGCTATGGCGGATAGATGATGAAGTCGGGAATCGCGGACATGGTGAACACGGGTGGACGTCCTGGCGGATCCATAACGGCGTCGCTCTTCTTGAAACAGGTACCCCTTTCGTTTTGTTCTTGTGGAAGAACTTCTAATCTCTTCCATTCTTGATGGATGGACAGTTTGTCGATGAGAAAATTCCTTGGGCTCATCTCGACATCGCTGGACCCGTGTGGAACGAGAAGAAGAAAATGGCGACTGGATTCGCTGTGGGGACCTTGGTGGAATGGGTTTCGAAGCACGCATCCTCCTCATAAAGTAAAAAAAAAGAGGTTGGTTTTTCCCACAGCAGGATTGTTTCTTGAGGCTCATTTTTGCTCGGTCGTTAAACAATTTACATTTATTATAACAACGAAATATCTTACTCCTAATTTGAAATTAGCATATCCCTTGATCCATGGGCGAATCTTAACCTCCGCGCAATGCAGGCAAGGGCATATGCGCGCAATAAGCACAGCAACGCACAAATGCCCCACACCCGCGGTAAATATTTGCTTTCCATCTACTGTGGTAATGGTAATGCAAGCCAGGGTAGGTGAAAAAATTAAAAATCACCGCACGGATCTGGGCCGTGGGATGAGCTCGAACGGCCCTTCTTACAACATTTTAAAAAGTATTAGAAATCTCAACGCCACGCTATCTCAAAATTTTTTATTGGTTTTGGCGCTTTGCCGCGTCATCAACCGTACAGGAATACTCTAAACTCGTGCGCCACGTGGCGGATACGGGAATGTTATAATCCATCCCTTTTCACATTACATATCTTGATCGCGTTTCATATTTGGTCGTGATATATACGCTGTGCGGTTTGTTCTAGGGCGCGAACGAGAAAACGACTGTTAAGCGTGGGAGAGCAAGGAGAAGCGCGAGAAGGCTCGATGCTGTGTGAGTGCCCTCTTTCTTTCCTCCCCGATTGCCCTCTTTCTTTCCTCCCCGATTGCCCTCTTTTTCTCCCCTCATGGCTGCGATTTTTTGTTGTGAAGCAGGAAATGAGAGCGTCGTCGTTACTCCACGTCGAGTCAGGATCGACGAGCGCGCGACAAGAGCTGTCGAGCAGAAGCTCGTTCGGCTTGCCTTGCTCACAGGCGAGGAGGAAAATCAAGAGCTCTACAGCCCAAGCGACTTGATCATCGGAACAGCTCCCAACGCTGAAGCTTTCTCCAGGTGAGCAACCAAGAATGCTTCTAACCGTCAATGCTTCTACCGTCGATGCTTTCAGGTGGGCATCGGGAAACAGGAAGTTCCTCTGTGACTTCATCGGAGGAAAGATCATCGCAAGGGAACTCCCGCATAACCCCCATGGGCAAGCTCAGTTGAAGGTGGGAGTTGCTTTTGATGCACAAGCAAGTGGATTGCTCGTGGTGGCGACGGCTGTTACTTATAAACCGGATATCGGGGGGGATCTTTACGAGCCGGACGTAACAGTGCAAGTTCGTGGTCAAAGCTCTATTCTACCTCCCGGTGTCGCGGCTTTGAGGACATATGGGGCTATCGTCATCGAGATCGCAACATCCCAGACACCCAAGAATCTTCACGAGCGAGCTGCGATCTTCCTTGGACCAGACTATCCTCGCTGCGAGCTCTATATCGGTCTCAAAAGGTTCAACGAGAGAGCTAATGGAACTATCGCTATGTTGGCTTCGGTCTATGAAAGGCCAGGAGCTGGCGGAGGGGCGGCAGGAGCTGGGGGAGGGGCGGCCGGAGCTGGAGCTGGAGCAGGGGGCGGGGGACCAATGCCCATCCGGCTTGTCTCATTTGGGACTTGCCCTTTGGGCCCAAATGCAACCTGGAGAAATTCTCCGATTCTCACAGGGGTTGGACATGGTGGGATTGCTTTAAATGGTCCTGGAGTGAGGCCTTATATCCTGCGGTTTCCGGCGGTGCAAATTTTTACGACATTTGTTCCTCCTGGAGGTGGAGCAGTGGGCGTTCCACCAGCTGGTGCACCTGTGAACTATGAGTTGGATCTTTATTATATCCAACAGGCTTTTTCATGCCCTTTTGAACCCACGTATTGAAATCTATGCAATCTACTTGTATTTCCTTTTTATAAGTAATATAAAAAGAGTTTTACCTTAGCATGTGTCTCATATTAAATGCTGATGATTTGGATCTTTATTTGTTCTCTCTTGGATGTACGACTCGCTGGAGCTGGTGATTGTCAAGGGACGTTTGAGAGGCTGATGGAGGAAGCTGTGAGGAATGGAACATCGCCAGCGCAGTACAAAACTCCAAGGTGTGTGACCTCTCCAAGAATGCTGGAAGTTCTAGCGTCCAGAGCTACCAGAGTGGGGAGATTGTGTTCGAGAGCTGGGAGCCAAGCTTTCCACAAGGCAGTGCATCGACATGACCATGAGATTCCTAGAATATACCTGGAAAAGCATCCACACGGATTATATTATGTTTGTACAGAAGTCCATTGCCCCTTGAACTTCTTGATGTTAACAAGCTGGCGCACCAGTTCTTTGACGTAGCGCTTTAAATTGTTCTCTTCTTATCATAAAGTTTCAAATGGCGAGCATTGCCGAGTTTGAGCAAGCTTGTGAGAATGGAGCTTCGATCCAGGAGGAGTTGCTGGGCGGCATTCTCCGCAAGACCCATTATCTCCAGAAGTTTGGGAGCCCCCAAAGTCTGGCTGCTTATAAGTCCCAGGTTCCAATCGTATCCTACGAGGATGTTGCCGGAGTGATTGAAAAGATTGCTTGCGGGGAAGAGGGCCCAATTCTTTGTCACGACCAAGTTCTTTGCTTCTTCGCGAGGTAAGAATTTCTCCCATTCTTTATTTGTGTGAGAATCTTCTACTTCCAACATCGTCTGGGAAGGGTAAGATTATTCCAGTCACTGCTGAGAATATCTCCGCCTTAATGAGGGCAGCGGAAATTTCCAATGCTTACATAGCAAGGTAGTTTGCTAACCTATCGATTGTTCGATGTGGGTTCAATGTGGAGATCTTTCAGATTTCCCGGAGCTTGGAAGTGGAAGAGTGCTCGGTTTATACTACTGCGGTCATCAATCTCATACCAAGGCGGGTATCTGGGTGGGAGCTCTCACCACTTACTTGATCAAGACCTACAGAGGACCGTTTAACAAGTTCACCACTCCGTACGAAATGATCATCTCGGGATCAAACTGGCGAGAGCTGACGTACTGCCACTTGCTGTGTGCTTTGATCCAGCGAGACGCGGTGGAACAGATCGATGCGAGTTTTGCCTACATCATCTCCGAAGCTCTGAAGATCCTCCAGAGTGATTGGCAGGATATTTGCAAAGACATAAGAACTGGCAGCTTGAGCAGCGGTAAAGTCACACACCCAAAGCTCCAGGAAGCTTTCGCGACTTTTTTGGTTAACAAAGAGAATATTGCCGGAACCGCCGACGCCATCGCCAAGATTTGCAGCAGAGAATCGTGGTCTGGAATTCTTTCCTTGCTCTTCCCGGGAGCAAAGCTGGTGTCCGCAGTGGTGACGGGGGCGATGGCACACTTTGTTCCTGAGTTAAGAGATTACGCAGGTGGCAAGCTTCCAATCTCCGGAAAAGATTACTACTCGTCTGAGGGAGTTCTTGGGATCAACACAAACCCGGCTTCTCCTCTTGAGGACGTCGTCTTCACAATTTTACCACACATAATGTACTACGAGTTTCTTCCGCTCGGTGCTAATAATCCAGCTGGTGAAATCCTGGCTCCACACGAGGTTGTCGTTGGGCAAGAGTACGAGATCGTCATCACGAACTTCGCAGGTTTGCCATCTTCTATCTTTTCTTGCAAATTTCTCATCCGAGGTGTTCTCTTTTCTTTAAGGATTATATCGATACCGAGTCGGGGACGTGGTGAAAGTATCGAGTTTTTTCCATGGAGTTCCTCAGCTGGCTTTCAGCCACCGCAAGAACGCGGTTCTGAGCGTCCAAAACGAGATGGTCGACGAGCAAGAGCTCCAAAATGTGGTGATGGAAGTATCAAAAGATGCAGGGATCCAGGTCGCGAACTTCATAGCCTACGGCAATTCCACCGCCGTTCGTGCGCATTACGTGATCTTCTGGGAGCTCAAACGCAGAGAAGGGATCAACAGAGAGCTCTTGGAGAGATGCTGCTCGAGTATAGACAGGTCTTTCAATCCGGGATACACTGGAAAGAGGCTGGATGGAGTGATCGACTCGCTGGAGCTGGTGATTGTCAAGGAAGGGACGTTTGAGAGGCTGATGGAGGAAGCTGTGAGGAATGGAACATCGCCAGCGCAGTATAAAACTCCAAGGTGTGTGACCTCTCCAAGAATGCTGGAAATTCTAGAGTCTAGACGCGCCGAGAGCTACAAGAGTGGCGAGATGCCCAGCTCTGTGTTAGAGAGCTGGGAGCCAAGCTTTCCACAAGGCAGGCAAAAAAATTAAGTCATTGGAAGTCAAACAAGGTTGAATCATTTAAAGACTTGACTTAAAGTTACTGACACGTGTTTATTTTATTTACCTTTTACATCAAAATAAAGAATCTTTTACAAAGTTTGACACCAAGGTTTAGGGCTAGAGAATGGGCGCTGTGACCACGGCCGTGATCGCGATCGCGGGGATTCTACTCGGATGGGCAGCGATCGAAATGGCTTGCAAGCCGTGCTTGGAGAGAGGAAGATCTTCGCTGGCGAAATCGCTCAATCCGGACTACGATCCAGACGACGAACTGGATGCCCAGCGCCCGGCGGTGACAAAGAAAGACGAAGAGGAGGAGGAGGGCGATGGCGATCGTGGCATTGAGGAGCTCGAGGCCGGGGGTAGCGCCAGCATTGACGACGAGAAGAAGCCACTCACAAAGAAATAAAAGCTCTCGATGCTCGCCCTCTTTGTAAGTAAACGAAGTTCTCCTGCGAAGAACACATCCAATCTATTGTATTGTCTCTACAATCTGGGCATTCTTCCCTCTCCTTGGGCGTCCAGACTCTTAGATCTTCCAACAAGAGAGATCACACACCTCGGATCTCTCCATTTCTTCTCAAACCAGCCATAAACCCTAAACCTAGAGTGATGCTTTCTTCCTCCGCGAATGCGGTGCTTCCCAGCGCTCGGCCGGGCCGCTCACACCAGCTGCCAAGATTTCGCGCTTCCAGGGCAGCGATTTGCTGTAGGAATCACGGCAGCGGCAGCGCGAAGCTGGAGAGATCGACCGATCGATTGAGCAGGGATGCAGGGATTTTGCTCGGCACTGCGGCGTTTTGCCTGGTCTCGGGATTCAGCGTCAGCGATTTCGCTCGAGCCGAGGCCGTCCCGCCTGTCGACGATGTGGCTGCGTTGCCGGCGTCCGCGATTCCAGATCTCGCCAAGAAGAAGAGGGCGGTAGCCGAGAAGCCAGGGAAGAGCTCAAAGGTTCCGTCCAGGGTTCTTCGCGCAAAGGCCAATGAGAGGACGCTCAAGGCGGTGCTAAAGACGATCGAGGAGGAGCCGGGCAACTTGGTGGCTTACAAGGCTTTGCTCTCGCTCAGGATGGAGAATGGAGAGGTGAGGGAGGCGATTGAGGTTCTGGGAAGGATGATCGAGTTGGAGCCAGAGCATCTCGAGTATAGATTCATGAGAGCCAGAGCTTACGGGCTTGTTGGGGATGTGAGACATTCCAGGGAGGAGTTCCGGGAGCTTGTGGAGATCCAACCTTTCTCTGCGAAGGCTTTGCAAGTCAGTGAGTGATCGATAGTTTTCTTTCGAGTTCTTAGAAGCACCATTGTGTTTTTTGCTCCAGGGACTGGCTTTAGCTATGGAGAAAGATGGAGAAGACGACTCCCAGGTTCTAGAGATGATCCATGCCGCCATAAAAAATGCGATTGATCAGCAGCAAAGCTTTGCAGCTCGCAACTTCAAGATGCTTCTCGGCCAGATTCTTACGTCTCAGGTACTAGAACAAGCTTTCTTCGTCCCTGTCTAGCTTCGTGAGATTTTTCTTTCCTTGTTTTAAGCTCCAGTGGTGGATGTCTTCCAGGAGAAGCTGACACAGGCTCTCGAGCAGTACGAGGAACTGACCAAGGAAGATCCATCCGACTTTCGTCCATATCTCTGCCAGGTGAGTGACGAAGAACTTCACGAGAACTTCCAAGTTCTTCGATTAGCTCTCAAAGTTTCTGTGACTTATCCAACGATTTCTCCAGGGACTGCTCTATGATTCTCTCGGCGAGAAAGAGAAGGCCAAGGAATGCTACAAACGATTCAAGGAGCTCTGCCCTGAGAGCTTTCCACAGCGCAAGTACCTCGACGATCTCCTGGTGAGAGGGAGCTATGGCGCTCGCGTGAGAGAAGAAGAGAAGGAAGGAAAGCTCGCCTCGATGCAACAGCCAAAACTAACGATGCAAGACATGGCACAAGCAAGCAAGGGGAAAGAAAATAAGAGCGAATATGCTTCGAAGTGAGAAAGAATCTAGGTCGAAAACTAGAGACGGCGACGCTGCGAGCGGGATTCCTTGGTCTGTGGGGCGGATTGATGGCGCCGGACGTCATGGATGATCTCCAGGAGCTCAAGGCGCTGCTGGATCAAGCCAAGCGGCCGCGAGTGAAATCGCTGCTCTCCGCCGAGATCGAGAGACTGCAAAAGGTTCTTGCTCTCTTTCTTGATCGCTGTAGCGGATTCTAGACTCCTGGAGGCTAATCCTGCAGGGATTGATCGAAAACGAGGCGAAGCCGGCGGCGCCGCTGGAGAAAATTCCAGTTGCTGCTCCAGAGCCGCGCTACACCACTGTGGATTCGTTTAGCTGGGATCAAGATGATAAGAGCGTGAAGGTAGTTCCCATTTTTTTTCTTTTCTCTTTTGTCTCGTTTAGCGACTCGCTTGCTTTCTTGTCGTTTGAAGATCTACATTGGAATCGAGGGTGCCTCCGCTGACAAAGTATCTTCGAAGTTCCAGGACGAGTCTTTCGAGATCAAGATCGAGGATTTGGGAGGGAAGAACTACCGCTGTGGTGTTCCAAGGCTCCACAAGCCTATAGATCCAGCGGCAAGTAATGTGATTGTCAAGCCCAAGCGCCTTGTGGTGGTTTTGAAGAAGATGGCCACGGCAAGATGGACCGATCTACACTACAAGGAAGACAAGGTCTGTTCTTCGCGCTTTTTTCTCTTGTCTGAGACGATCGATTGTGGATGCACAGTTTAAGCCGGATGAAGGGAAGAATCCGATGGCTGGCATCATGGACCTGATGAAGGTAACTTCCATGGCTGCATGGTTTTGGATCGATCTTGACCTTGTTGTTGCAGAATATGTACGACGAGGGCGACGATAACATGAAGAAAACGATTGCTCAGGCGTGGACCGACGCAAGAGCCAAGCAGGGAGGACTGTGAATCCTTTTGTTTTAGTTTGTTCTGCTTAGATTGGATGATTTCCTCGCTGCGAAATTAATCTATCATGTTGTTACTGACGTGGATTGTACTTTGCTCAGCGTTCATCCCTCTGCTAACGTTTCTTTACTATTGATCCGGTGCTTATGATTGAACACTTTATACAGGAGCTCTTGGTTTTAGTTTTTGGTTTGTCTAAGATTTTGCTTTACAATAGAGGTGTACAAAGTTTGTGCAGCCTTGTGAAGATCATTGATAGGGCTCATTTGGTCAGAGCGTGTGACTGAAAATCAGAAGGTAGTTCAATCCCACTCTCTGGCATTATATCTTATCTTTTAGTTTCTGGACTTTGAACGTGGTATGCTATTATGGCGTGAAATTTGTGACACCCGACTGTAGGTGATGACATATTCTGTAAAATTCTTACAGCCCTTAAAATATTCTTTGCCTTATATCACTATGCACCAGTCCATGAAGTGCTATTGTAGTTTTAGACTCAGTCTAATTTGATGAACTTTTTATAGTGTTAGTTGTGGTTTCGAGGATCTTTAAGATTATATCACAAAATTTATTTCTTTTGTTAACATTTGAGTTGAGTGATCCAAATTCAAAAATTTACATTTAGTATAAAAAAAGAATGCACTTTTCTTTCCAAACAATTAAGAGTTTTAGGGTGTCAAGAGAGCAAAGCTCTTAGAAGAATTATGGTTGTCAGCTTTTGTTTACAAAGGTATGAATTTGCAAAGAAACATGGTGGATTGTAATTAATTATTTAGAAGGGTGTGAACTTAGTGGATTGCAAGTAATTAAAAAGAACGACTCAAAAGATGATATATAATAGTTTAAATATAGAGAGAAATGACACATAAATAATAGTGCACTATTTTTTTCAATCGGTTAAAGGTCTTGAAATACTTAGGGTTAAATATCCTTTGGTTTGAATAATATAGTGCTAGAATAAGTATCTAATAGCAATTGTAAACAAATTAACAAAAGCTTTGACTTTCATTTAGCAAGTTAAGTAGTCAATAGTCAAGAAGTCAAATACTCATTACCAGCAGTTAATCATAGAAAATGCCTTATTAGATCAAATGCCATTAACTCAAACGGATGGAAAATTACAATTAACTCTAACTGTCCTTCTATAGCATAAGGGGGAATATTACAAACTTAGCACCAACGTACATAAAAACATTATGTTGTGTCTTTGGCTAATAGAAAGATATGTAAATTCCTAGTCACACAATGATGTCCTATATATCGTTTCTTAAAAATATAAATGCCAAAATGGTAAATCATTAGCAAGTGATGCAAAATTCTGAAATCTATTGCAAAGCTTTCGGATCTATAGCTCAATATTGTGAGCCTCACGAACCTTATCAAGAGAGGTAAATTTTACTCTGCACCTTATGAATATTCAACATTAAGTACAACAATTGTTGATGGCATAGAATCTTTGTCTAAAAAATCCACAAGCCTTAAAGTTACATTTAGCATGATTGTGCCACAATAAATCCATACCAAGGATTAGGTCAACAACTTGACTCGGCACCACCCGCAACAACTACAGCTCAAGCTCAAAATTGCCCATACATACAATTAAGTCCACATCACTTCGTGCATATACATGTGTACGACTGTTGCCATAAAGAATAAAAACTAGCTCTACCAAATTGTAGTGCACGTGGTTTTGACCCTTTATCCTATGGTGATTTACCATAGGATAACACCACGAAGCGGAACCTAAACCCTCTTTGTGCTACGTGACAGATGCCACATATCACATGCCACATGTCCAAAGGAACGTGGTGCGAAACTCAAGGTTCAGGGCCTTGGGCTACTGAACGAAGGAACGGTGCCAAACTCCCAAGCGTGGAGCCAAGGAGTGATGGAACCGAACCACGGAGCAACTCTCGAGCATATAGCCTAAGGAGCAAAGGGACAAGAGCCCAGAGCGACTTGGAATAGTCCTGGAGCAATCAACTTCCCAATGCCAGGACCAGTATGCAAAACGGAGCCAAACGGAGTGTGGCACTATTTCAGCATACCAGTAGCCTAACATGAGGATATGGGTACTCCACCAGCTAGTATGGAATGGAACTTGGGCTTAGACCCAAGCCGGACACAGAACAAGGATAGGCACGCAAGCAGGAGTTAGACTATGCCTCAGGTTGGTCAGCCATGCCCGACCTACCCACTATCCCTACTGTACATTTGGAACCCCCCATAACCCCGCCGCCCCACACACCCCCCCCCCCCCCCCCTTGAGGAGGAACACAGGCTTTGGGCTTTCACCCCAAGCCTCCCTTAGTATTAGGAGTTAGTCTTTGGGACAAGCTCGAAACTTACTAAATATGGAATGTTCCTAGATTGTGAATTTGGACACGAGATGAACACCATTGTGTTCAGGCCGATCTCTACATTCCGTAGATATGCCAAATGAGCAAACCTGGACACTTTCCATAAATAGCATTTAGGACTGAAATGAGACTAACACAAAGGGCATGATAGCGAGGGTGTTTGGCAGACACGGTAAGCTATCATGTAGCGATATTGAGGGACTAATTTTAATACGCGAGGGTTCTTGTCACTAGCAAGTGCAAGACAAAACGAGACGGGAACTCTTTACCGGGCTAAGTATGCTTAGTTAATAACACGTAGGAATTCCGTCCTTATGCTCGTCCGGTCTAAGTACACTCGAAATGCCCAGTTAACTCCACTAGCACAAGAGGGACTGATAAAGGGTCTAGCAATACCGACCTCCTACCGTCGTGGTAGTAAAGTAAGAGTGTCCGTAAGGACTAATCGACAGGTAACTTTCGATACCCAAAGTCACATTCGCGACACAAACTATACAAATATAAATAATAACATGTAACAACAGATTGAGTAATAGAGGATAAACTCAAGTTTATATCCACTAACATAGAATAATAGGAGATATTTTATTATTAAAATGATATTGGAAAATAAACACTAGATAAATTAGTGTTAAGTGAACCTTTTGATGATACTCTCAAAAGAAAGATGGAAGGGTCACTGATTTATTCATGCAAAGACCCTCTACTACTTGTGTGACTCCTCATTTCTCAGAAACATCTTAGTGTCTAAACCTTCCACTACAGTAACATCAATAAGATGTTGTTGATGCCAAAGTTTTCACCTAGGAAATGGAAGTCGTTAATCTAGAAAATGATGATAATACCAATAAGTGTAACCAACTTTATCACATACCCAACAACAAACATCACAACTATGATCACATTTTCACCTTTGTCTTTGAATTCCGGCAACAATAACATTAATTTCTATTGGAATAGGACTATCTCCTATAAAAAGTGGAGTTAAAGGATATGTAGTGAGAAGTGGAAAAAGTGATGTTTCATAATATTGTGCTAAGCAAAGAGTAACATCAAGAGTAGCAGTAATATAAATATTACAATATATTAACAAAGTGTTGGCCACAACATTCCCAACTTGATCCGTTCCGACATTTTTAGCTCCATATAAAGTAAGAGGTTTTGGAAATGAATGCAAAATTGCATTACTGAATTAGATGGTCCTTGATGAAGACAATACAATTGTTAAAAGGTATTCTCATAATTATTAACATGTCCAAATGCATGCTTGAAGATGTTCAAAAGAATGCTTTAATCCTCAAAAGTGGTTATGTTCAAACCATTATACAACTGTAATGTTATCCCTTAAAAACTGTGGGAAATTCATGAAAATGCCAAATATCATCCCAAAAATGATATATAGCAATCATTATAAAGTGATTGAACCAATGGTACACATCATCCCCAAGACTTCCATAGAAGAAATCTAGCTAGACACAAGGATTGACACCAAGAGCAAGAGGAGTTGTATTATGTGCTGTGAATGTCATTATCAACTAAGTTTGATTATTCAACTGTAATCATATACATTGAACAATTGCATGAATTACTACTCCAAAGTCAAAACAAGAGGAGGCTACTGCTTTGCCAAGAAGATGAACAAAAAAGAAAAAGTAAAAGAGAAGAAATTAACAAAACTATAAGGAAAAGAAGATCTAAATAATACAAAAGCTAAATTTAAATTAAAATCCCAAATCCAAACACTGTTGAAAGACAATCAAAATTGCCTCCACTAATGAGTGCATGGAATATGGAAATAGAATACAAAAATGTGCATTTCAATTAGCCTAAAGTTTTAATTTATATATAGGAGCAAATGGTCTGGATTGAAATAAATCTAACAGCTATCAAAATCCCACTACACTAATATTACTTGGCCCTCAAAGATTTATCTAATACAGTTTAATAGAAAATTTCTTTTACTCTTATTTGTTGTACTTCTAATACTTTTCAAAATAACAAAACTTGGTTGGAGAGGGAAAAACTTAAAACAACTTGAGAATGGACATGAAGTATTGTCCTGGAATAGATCTCTCCACCTCCTCAAGAGACTTTACATTGTAGTCTACCACACTGCCAAATTTGAGGAGGGACTGGGGCAGCAGTCATTGGAAGGATACTCACGCAGCTTAATTACGAGCACTGATGTTGTATAGTTTCTGGAACAAAGAAAGAAAGGATTTAGAGTTTTGTCCCTGCAATTGTGTTTTGAGGCTGGAGTGCTCAAGGACGGGGTGTGCGATGACGGAGGTTGTCGAGGCGAGCAGGATGTGGAGCTTTCCCAATCTCGCCACTTCGAGCGAGGGGTTGGGTTCCCCAAATACGTTTTCAATTTAACTGTGAAATTGAGTCAGGGTTAGGGCTCTTGAGCTAGGGTTTGATGGCGTGGGCGAGGGCGATTGGCGGCTTATGCAGGCGCGCGGGCAGCGGCCGCTTAGATTCTCTTTCCAACCCAGGATTCCAGCGGATTTCTAGCTTGTTTGGCCAAAGGGGCTACTGCGCGCCGGTGGCAGCGCCACTGTCAGATAATTCGGCGGCACCGGCGCTGGCCTACGAGCTCAAGTCCTCGCTCAAGTCTTCGCCGCGGCACGATTTGGCGATGATCTACACTTGCACGAAGTGTAACACGCGATCGGCCAAGACGTTTAGCAGGGAAACGTACGACAGTGGGGTGGTGATTGTCCGGTGTGGGGGATGTAGCAATCTCCACCTCATCGCGGACAGACTTGGGATGTTTGGGGACAAGGGGAGCATTGAGGATTTTCTAGCGGAGAGAGGTGAGAAGGTGAAGAGGGAGTCTGAGGATACGTATGAGTTTGCGCTCGAGGATTTAGTTGGAGCAAAATCCAGTGAAAATTCTCGGGACTAGTTTCTAGTCGATTCTTGCTTAGAATCAAGTCTACAGTTCAGTTGCCCACTCTCGCATCCCGGTAGCATAGCGTTTGACGACACTATCCTGCATGCCCACCAGTGTGGTTTGCACGTAACGTCTTGAGCGCCTGTCCAGAAACTTTGGCTTGTCTTTCGGATTCTTCTTGGCGCAGCGCAACCAGAAGAGTCGCCCATCCTATCAAACAGCTCCAAAGCCAGACGATCCTCCGATTTCGACGTCATTCTTCTCCTCCATCTCGTTCGCGAGCTAGCACTTTGCGTGCATGTCCTGGTACTCGCTGGAGAGGAGGGACACCACTTACGAGCTTGCCCGAGTTGCAGGAATACTTTGACAGCTCCTGGTTTCAACACACCGTTGTCTTTTTGTTTGTTGTCAGCAAACTAGGCTGGGAAATATCTCATTCCCAGCTGTTAGATCAAAGAATTAAGTAATTCTTTTTACTTGGCTCCACACATTTATAAAAATGGTATATAAATTTAATGACTATAAAATATGATTTGGATATTTAGTTTCTAAATTACAGTTATTTTAGATTGAAAATAATGTTGATAATAAACAAAATGGTTGGGTGCCCATAAAACATTTTAACCATGTCCTAGGGCTGTTCATAGCCTTATCATTTGGCTTCTTTGCTGAACCATTTATCTATATATAGTTTTTTATTAAAGTTATTTTTTAACTTTAATAATTAAATTTAGAATTCCTTGTGATATAGATATTTTAGTACTATCACTATAACTTATTAGGTATTGATATACTAATTCTAGTTTATTTATTAGTTGATAATAAGTTGCAATTATTTATGTAATATCATGAGTATTTAAAATTCTAAGTTTTTCAAACTTTGGATAATAAGTTGTTGCAGATAAGTCTTGAAAATAATGAACATTATACAAAAATTGTTTTATACTTTTTATTGACCATTTGTAAAAGGATATGAATATTTATATATATGAGCTTTTAAATTATTAACTTATTTATTCAAACTGATTATGAATTATTTACTTAAGAAAATTTTAAACAATGTGTTATAAAGAAAAAAAACTACTTTATTCTAATTTCAATATTTTCTATTATACTTTATATATTCTTAAAACATTTTCACACTTATTTGTATTGCTTTTTTAGTCTTATAGTGTATTAATTCTGAAAGGAAAATTGTATTCTCTCTAAAAAATAAGAATATAAAAAATGTGCGTAATTTATAGTAGTTTAGTCGAAAACTTTATACTAATTGTGAATTTTAGTTTTATATGTGAATTTAGCACTACTTATTTGTACTAGTGATGATACTTAAAATGCATTTTCTAATGTCTAACAATAGAATGGAAGGTTGTTTCTTATGGATGAAGTGACTAGTTTGATTTGTTAAATAGATTGTTACAAAGTAGTTCATTTAAAATAATGAAATACAATTTATAAGTTTATGAATATTATACACAATAGTAGTAAATGAACATTAGCCATCAAAATTAACACACCCTTATACTTAAATTGTTTACTAATATTATATATTATTAATACTAGGTTATAACTGAAAACTAAAGAATCATTACTTTTTCTTTTATTTTATGTATTTCCAAACATGCAAAAAGGATAGGACACCATTGCCACTACTGATTGATGGATGTTTGCTATCTATGTAAACACCATTAAATCCAATATAAGAAGAGAATAGCTGGTTTTCTTGCTCGCACGATACAATCACTCCCGTTTGGAAGCATCATCTAGAGCTGTTACCACAAGAGCTGCTGAAACTGATGCTCTAAAAGCAACTAGACATTTATGTGAAAAGGATTATATAAATCTTACTCAAGCAATCTGTTAGAAGTGTCTTATGGCAATGTTGGTTTGGAATCCTGTCACCTGCACCTCTGTGATAGCAAGGATCCGTACTGTGATCAGTACAGAATATATTAGAATCTAGTATGGTAAGCAAGGAGCTGAAGTGGCAGCAAGGTGTCAGGAGCAAGGAGCTCGAACTGGGTTAAGCGCCTTGTTTTAAGTGTAGATCATCGCCAAATCGTCTTGAAGCTCATCCGCTGGAACCTCCGGCTGGAAAGACTAGAAGCTAAACTCCCGCTACTCGCGCGCAGCGTGTGCAAATTCAAATTTGAAATTTCAAACGTATTCGTGGCCGGGCTCTGCGAGTGGCGAGTTCTCGGCCTGCATGCCCGTCTCGTTCCAGTAATCCACGAGAATGAAATCCTCCACGAACGGCCCCTCCTTGAGCTTCGCCAGCACCACTTCCGGGCTGTTGTCAATCAGCTCCGCCTCGTCGATCCAGCGGAAGAACGCCAGGTAGCCGAAATCAAACCCCCTCGCTCGAACCGGCGAGAAATTGGGGCCGCCACCATCGAAGCTCGAGGTCCTGCTCGCCTCGGCGATCTCCGAGACGAGCTGCTCCCTGCCATCGCCGCACACCCCGTCCTTGAGCCGGCACAGCACGATCCTCTTTGCCTCGAAGAACTGGTCGACGTGCTTCTCGACGCTCGACTCCCAGTCCAGCGCCAAGACGGACTCGCAGATGGGATTCACGAACTTGTCCATGCAGTAAATCTGCGCTGGGTGGAGCGAAAGCGCGGCCAGCGCCGCCTTGTTCTGGTGCCGCGAGTGGAGGACGTGCGTGTAGCCACCGCTGAGAATTTTGTGCGCCGGCCATATAGACAGCACCGGTCCGGCCTTGAGGTGGAGGACGCCGTTGATGGCCCGCAGCTTGTTAAGTTGTTCCACCATCTCGGCTCGCTTCTCGGCCGAAGCCCAGTGCCGGGCCTTGAAAAGAAGGACGTGCTCCACCAGGTGAACGATCGGCATCCTGGAGCTTCACTGCAAATCTCTGGAAGAAAACCAAGAGCACAAGCGTGAGAATTGTTGTCGCGCTGTTGCTTCACCATCTTGATCACAGCGCTACTTTCACTGAAGGGAGACTTGCTTTTTCTCACTCGCTCATCGAAACGACAGCACACCTCTTCGTAAACGTCTCCAGAAACTAAAAGATAAGTTTATAATGCCGGAGAGTGGGATTGAACCACCGACCTTGTGATTTTCAGTCACACGCTCTAACCAAATGAGCTACTCCGGCATCGTGCTGCCCTCATGAAGATATTCACAAGCCTGAGCGTGCTTTATGCATTGCTAAAATTAATGAAAAACAGCAAAAAGGTAATAAATGGTCGGGAAACTCGGGCAACAGCAATATATTGCAGCAAAAAACTTCCAAGCGCATGATCCTGCCAAGGTCTGTTTCTTCTTGAAAAAATCTAGACTAGAGCTTGCAGCAAGAATACAATGCAACTTTATGCTAAACAAAACCATAGACTACATGACTACCATACAGCTTGCAGCAAGAATACAATGCAACATTATGCTAAACAAAACCATAGACTACATGACTACCATACAGCTTTATGCCAGAGAGTGGGATTGAACCACCGACCTTGTGATTTTCAGTCACACGCTCTGACCAAATGAGCTACTCTGGCACCTTGTTGCCCTACCGATGAACTTCGCGAGCCTGAGCAAACTTTGTACACCTGCATTGTAAAGTAAAATCTTAGACAAACCATAACTAAAACCAAGAGCTCCTGTATAAAGTGTTCGATCATAAGCACCGGATGAATAGTAAAGAAACACTTAACTCTGTTAGCAGAGGGATGAACGCTGAGCAAAGCACAATCCAACAACATGATAGATTAATTTCGCAGCGAGGAAATCATCCAATCTAAGCAGGATTCACAGTCCTCCTTGCGTCGGTCCACGCCTGAGCAATCGTTTTCTTCATGTTATCGTCGCCCTCGTCGTACATATTCTGCAACAACAAGGTCACGATCGATCCAAAACCATGCATCCATGGAAGTTACCTTCGTCAGGTCCATGATGCCAGCCGTCGAATTCTTCCCTTCATCCGGCTTAAACTGTGCATCCACAATCGATCGTCTCAGACAAGAGAGAAAAGCGCGAAGAACAGACCTTGTCTTCCTTGTAGTGTAGATCGGTCCACCACAAGGCGCTTGGGCTTGACAATCACATTACTTGCCGCTGGATCTATAGGCTTGTGGAGCCTTGGAACACCCCACCGGTAGTTCTTCCCTGCCAAGACTCGTCCCGGAACTTCGATGATACTTTGTCAGCGGAGACACCCTCGATTCCAAGGTAGATCTTCAAACGAGAAGAAAGCAAGTGAGTCGCTAGGCGAGATCGAGAGCTCACCCGCGAGGAGAGGGAGGATTCGTCGCCGCCAAGGCCGATGCTTGCGATCTCGGCGGAGAGCAGCGATTTCAGTCGCGGCCGCTTGGCTTGATCCAGCAGCGCCTTGAGCTCCTGGAGATCATCCATGACGTCTGGCGCCATCAATCCGCCCCACAGACCAGGGAATCCCGCTCGCGGCGTCGCCCACTTCGAAGCACATTCGCTCTTATTTTCTTTCCCCTTGCTTGCCTTGTCTTGCATCGTTAGCTTTGGCTGCTGCATCGAGGCGAGCTTTCCTTCCTTCTCTTCTCTCACGCGAGCGCCATAGCTCCCTCTCACCTAGAGATCGTCGAGGTACTTGCGCTGTGGAAAGCTCTCGGGGCACAGCTCCTTGAATCGTTTGTAGCATCTCTTGGCCCTCTCTTTCTCGCCGAGAGAATCATAGAGCAGTCCCTGGAGAAATCGTTGGATAAGTCACAGAAACTTTGAGAGCTAATCGAAGAACTTGGAAGTTCTCGTGAAGTTCTTCGTCACTCACCTGGCGGAGATATGGACGAAAGTCAGATCTTCCTTGGTCAGTTCCTCGTACTGCTCGAGAGCCTGTGTCAGCTTCTCCTGGAAGAAATCCACCACTGGAGCTTAGAACAAGAAAAGAAAAATCTCACAAAGCTAATTCTAGTACCTGAGACGTAAGAATCTGGCCGAGAAGCATCTTAAAGTTGCGAGCTGCAAAGCTTTCTTTATGGCGGCATGGATCATCTCTAGAACCTGGGAGTCGTCTTCTCCATCTTTCTCCATAGCTAAAGCCAGTTCCTGGAGCAAAAAACACACTGGTGCTTCTAAGGAAAACGACTGATTTGCAAAGCCTTCGCGGAGAAAGGTTGGATCTCCACAAGCTCCCGGAACTCCTCCCTGGAATGTCTCACATCCCCAACAAGCCCGTAAGCTCTGGCTCTCATGAATCTATACTCGAGATGCTCTGGCTCCAACTCGATCATCCTTCCCAGAACCTCAATCGCCTCCCCTCACCTCGCCATTTTCCATCCTGAGCGAGAGCAAAGCCTTGTAAGCCACCAAGTTGCCCGCCTCCTCCTCGATCGTCTTTAGCACCGCCTTGAGCGTCCTCTCATTGGCCTTTGCGCGAAGAACCCTGGACGGAACCTTTGAGCTCTTCCCTGGCTTCTCGACGAGCTCTCTCTTGATTCCTTCTCTGCGTTTGAGCTCCCAGAAGATCACGTAGTGCGCACGAACAGCGGTGGAATTGCCGTAGGCTATGAAGTTCGCGACCTCGATCCCTGCCTCTTTTAACACCTCCTTTACCACATTTTGGAGCTCTTGCTCGTCGACCATCTCGTTTTGGACGCTCAGAACCGCGTTCTTGCGGTGGCTAAAAGCCAGCTGGGAAAAACTTGATACTTTCATCATAGCGTGGTTATTAGGAATTCTCAACCATTCATTTAAGGAACCTATAGCCAAACTAAATAAGGTTGCAAGTGATCTAAAATGCACTTGTATAGCTAATAAAAGATGGCAAAAGCATTATGGCATTGATGGGTTGCAGACATTATATAAGGCACCACCACCACCTATTTTGCATAGAGCCGCTAAAAGCAATCTCCTCTAAGTAAGACATTTAATTTACATCTGGACCATGTGGACACGCTTACCTTTGCTCAACACCATTTACTCATTTTAGTCAGTCGGGATCCCAAGTTCAATTACGGAATTTGCTTTTGTTTTCTCTCCGCTGACATATAGTGAAACCATAAATTCAATGGTGGTGTAATTTATTTTTATAGTTTCAACTGGAGGTAACTAGTTGATAGACGTTGATCGGGTGATTTACATCCGGCCCTCCACGAAAGGCTTTGATAGCAACATCTCGAGCAACTCCAGCAGTAGGATGGAACTCATCGAAGAAAATGTGTTGCGATGGATTGGAGCAATATGGAACTTTGGGCAGACAGAAGAAAGAGCCTCTGTAAGGACCGATACCACAGCAAGCAGTCCCTGTGACCTTGAATCCTGCTCGGGAAAGTAAAGACATAAAACCTGAGACCTGGAGATCCAAAGGGTAAAACTTGAGATGCTCACCGTGCTGGCTTGGATTGTTGTAGATGGACATGAACGAGTAGTACGAGTCCGTGTAGACGGTCCTGAGACCAGGAAGAGATCTCTCCACCTCCACGAGGAGGGACTTGAGTCCTACATTGTAGTCCACCGCGAGTTTGTTCACAAAGTCTATGCACTCGTCGTTCTTGCTGCCGAATTTGAAGAGGGACTGGGGGCAGCAGCCGATGGGAGGCATGCTCACGACATGCAGCTTACGAGCACCGATGTTGTATAGTTCCTGGAACGAAGAAGGAAAGGATTTAGAGCTTCGTCCCGTGACGAAGGCTTTAAGTTTTGGAAAGCAACGAACCTGCAATTGCGATTTGAGGCTGGACAGCAGCAAGGCCTGGAATTGAGCGGGAGTTCCTTCCCTCGGCCTGACGAGATAATTGTTGAGATAGTCGTTGCTTCCCGTGACAACAGAGAACAAGGCCTTGCTGAGAAGCGTCCTCGTGCGTTTTTCTCCAATAAGCTCTTGGATTTCCTGCTTAACTTTGTGCATGCTTTTCAGTTGAGAGCCCATTGGCATGTTCTGCCCCTGCAAGAAAACGCTCCAAAGCAAGGGTCAGCTCCAGATTTGCTGTTGACAAGAACTTACGAAAATCTTTCCAGTGAAATCAAGGATTCCAGAGCCTGAGGACGCAAAGTTGACGCCGAGGAGAAGCTTGCTGCCTTTGGTAGAGGGGTCCAGATAAGCGGGAACGAAAGGCAGTCCCAGAAGCTCAGCTGTTCACCACGACGGGAAAAGAACAAAAACGAAGTTAACACACAAAAAGTCTTGCAAAGGTGACTTACTCAGGTAGTCGACTGAAACTCTCCCATTGCTGAATCGCCCCGTTGCAATGTGCGTGTCAAAGTCGACTCCATACGGATGGAAGTTGCTCTTGGCAAGCGTGAAGAGATGGTTGTTGTTGCCAACGTCAACCAGGGAGTCTCCAAAGATGAAGTACGCGGGAACGAGCGGAGAGCTCGCATTTGCTGCCCAAGACCCAGAGATCCAAAGGATCCACTGGAGCACGACGGCGAGCAAAATACGAGAGAGTTGCATCCTCTCGCCCGTTCGGATCCTTTCCCCTCGCCCGCTGCTTATATTCGTGTCTTTTCCTCTCCTTTTACCTGTCGAGTGAGGAAGGTTGGTGCTTTTGCTTTCGATTTTTGGTTCTGTCGTTCATGTGACTCCATTAAATGAGAGTTCTAAACTTGGTTATTTTTGACCCGCCAAAGGGGCACCGCTGTATTAATGTTGTCAATATGCAATTTACGCTTCCAACAACAATTACCTGTTTAGGCGCCTCACGTCTACAGTAAAGCTCAGTAGAACTGTGCTTTAAGTTCCTGAGCACGGTCGAGAGGAGCGCCGCATGAGTCACGAAGCCAGTCGAAGATTGACAGGAATGTATTCTTCTCACAGGGCGCCAGAAGCTTTAAAATAAGCCCAAAACGCTTCACTTTCACCAGCCCGCCAAGCACTGCCATTGTTCCCTGGAAGAATCTTCCCGTTAAGGTAGAAGAAGAGATAGAAAGATAGGAACTTACCGCGGGATCGTGTGGCATGAACGCAGCTTGCAACGACTTTAGAATGATCCTCAGGACTTCCACGCTCAGGTTCTCCTTGAAAATCCCCGGATACTCGTCAATGTGGATCCTGCTGATGAACTCTCTAAGCAGCTGTGATTGGCCTTGTAGTCGTTCACACGATCGCTGGAACTCTATCGCGGTCCTTGGCTTTTCAGGAACTGTCGTTGCCCTGGCTTGTCTGACGTTCCGTTCAGGAGCTATTGGACGCTCTTGTGGTTGAGACACTGGAATGCAAGCTCCTTCGCCAATCTGAGTCTTTATTTCGTGCATCGAAGGGCTCCTTCCCGAGGTTTCTTCAAGATTCTTGTCGCTGCCAGCCTCTTCCTGGGATGACTCTTTGACAAATGATACTCGAAGCTTCCGCTTGATAGTCCTGAGCTTCTCACCGATTTCTGAATCATCCGGTTGCAATTTCAGAGCGGCCTGAAGATATAGAAGAAGAATCATGAGTAACAGAAAATGTTTTCCTATATAGAAAAGAAAATGTTGGACCTGTAGGTCTTTGAGGGCCCCTCGAAGATCACCAAGGCCTTCAAATGCCAATGCTCTCCTGTAGTATGCCTTCGCATATCCACAATCTATGGTAATTGCTTCAGAACAATCCGATATTGCGGTATTCCAATCTCTCATCTGCAATGCAAACAAAGTTGGCCATAACGCAGACACTAGAATTTACCTTTAGATAGCAGAGTGCTCGGTTAGCAAAAGTTGCCGCAATGCCATGATCTAAACTCAAACTCCTGCTGTAACACTTGATCGCTGCGCAGTAATCTTGAGACTTGAAATGTTCATTCCCGATTGTTCGCTGCTTGTTTGCTTCTTCTCGAGCGTCATTGGTATTTTCAGGCCGACACGCCGTCGATGATTCCTCATGCTCGCATTTCTACACAAAGGTCATCACGTCAGTAAACTTCAAATGGAAAGCGCTAGATACCGTCTCAACGATCTCCTCAATCACCATCGGCCCAGCTCGCATAGGAATGTACGAAGAGTTCTCCTCGAGCGCAGGAGAGAGTTTACGTTCAGATAGGATCTTTAGCTCGCCCTGCAAAAGTTACAAGATTGGCATCGAACATCTATATAGAGATAAGCTTAATAGATGAAATCACCTCGGGAACACTCTCTTTCGTAGATATTTCACGTTGAGGAAATTTCTGCGTCTTAGTCACCCGAGTTCGAAGGGCTGGAGTTCGACTCTCCATCTCTAGCAACGCTGAAGAAGAACGGGATTCCTCTTCACCTCCAACCTCTTCTATTGAAATTCTTTTACAACTGTCTGCAAGCTTATCATCGTCTTTTTGCTTCTTCCGAACAGCTCTTTCTGCCTTTTCTTTCAAGGTCGAGGCCTCCTTACAAGATGAATCCAAATCAAATGCAGCGGTTAAATCTGCAACGTGGAATTCAGAAACGTCATAAACTCTAAACCGAATGAGCACCTCTCAAGGCCGCCTCCGGCCTTCCTATTTCCAGATAAGCCACTCCACGACGAAGAAGTGCCTGCTCTTGCGACGGCATTGTTCGCGTTAGCTCAAAATCAGAAATATTGTATACCTTGACGTGATTTGGGTCGAGTTGAAGTGCTTTGGAACAGTCTGCAACAGCATCATCCCATCGATTCAGCTGTTCATATATGCTCGTCATGGATGTGCAAACTAGTGTCAATTGACGATTACCTTAACTTGAACTGCAGCACGATTAGCAAACGTCGTCGCCGAATTCGAAAATAGTTCGAGGGACAAGCTGTACGCATCTAGTGAAGCAATATATTCTCGTGCCTGAATATAAACAGAATCAGTCCCCAGATTGCAAATGCAGTTATTTTTACCTTAAACAGCTCATTGCCCTTCTCTCGCTCTCGGTTTGCATGCCATTCCCTCTCTGTTTGCGATTTAGAAACAATAGCATTCCTGCATACAGATTATTAGCGCTATAGATTTTTGCAAAAACTGGTATACGGACCTTTCTTTGGTTTTCTTGGGACGAGGTATCTTTTCTTCGGTATTGCAGTCGTCTTCCTGGAGAAAATGTACAACATCAACCCAGCACTGCCAATGATAGAAATGACTTGCGTTTTCGCATTTTGCGGCGAATTCATCCCATAGTCGGTAATAATCTCTGCCACTTTTTAAGTCTTTACCCTCTTTCTTCGTGCGGGTATTTAAAACTTCAGAAGGCTTAGTTGTTTCTTGTATAGTTGGCCTGGCCTGCGCATAAAAACCGGAAAGCGTAAGAAACAGAAAATGAGCGCGTAGCCTACTTTGTCGCCGGACTCTGCAGCTTTGGGGCCTTTCACTCTCTGAAGCTGGCGAAGCTTGTCATCGGCACCTTTGATCGCGTCCTGGTGGTGAGAAGAGTGAAGAAATAAGAGCTTGAGAAGTCCCCAGAAGATTTTTGGACGCACGAATTCACCTTCCACGAGTCGAAGGTCTTAAGAAAACCATCGAAATCTTCGTCGTATTCGTCAACTCTGAGATACACGATGAAAAACCACATGAAAAAAGGAGAAGAAGAAGAAACACTTACCGAGTTTCGCGCTCTCCGGGACGAAAAACCCGGCCCCCTAGTTTGATAATAGTTTCGTAAGCAGCCTCGGCAGTTTGGGGAAATCCCTCTTCCCTGGAATCGACTAAATCAGCTGCGAAAGCTAGAAAGAAAGAAATCCTCACCGCATATATCTCTCGAGTTTCTTGAGCTTCCGGAGATCCGTCATGCCGCGGATTTGATCTCCGCTAGAAAGTAGAGAACCAAAACACATTTAACCGGAAAAATGCAGCGATGGCGGCAGTAAATCTTACGTGATATGATCGAATTCGTCCATCTCCTTGTCGGAAATCCATGAGCGCTTCACGCCAGCGACCATAGCTGCGAGAAGCCCTAAGAACAAACTCGGGAATCCAACGGAGGTTTTCTCGACAGCCGTCGGATCCTCCCGCCAGAAATTCGTAGCAATATAGAATTAGGGTTCTTATTTTGGAGCTCGGCTATGGCGGAATGTGAGGCGCTCTGGTGAGGCAATCTGGTCGAAATGGCAGCTCAAGAAGAGGATGCGACTCGCCTGAGATTGCTCCTCGAGTCGTCCTCGAGCTCTCTTGGCGACATCGCCGCCGCCTGTCATGCGGTGGAATCCGTCTCCAGGCACTTGCCAAGATCGTTCTTTTGCGTTTGCTTCCCGCTCCTCCTGCGCAGATTGTTTGGATTCAAGGACTTCCAGGCAGGGGCAGTGACTTCCTCGGAGGGATGGCTCTCGGTCGTCTCGCAGGCGGGCTGTGAATCGGCCGCGACGGTAGTAATCGCTCTCCTAGCGCCCGGGAGCTCGCTCTTCAAATCCCTCCTCGCCTCGGACAGCGAGAGCGTCGTGAGGTATGTGTTTCCATTCGAGCGCCTCCCGGAATGGGTCCGCCGCCTCTTGGCGGTGGAGGGCGGCGGCCCAGTGCTGGAGCACGTCTCGATTCTCTTCCGGAAGAGGCTCAAGGAGGACATCACTGGGTCGATCCAGATCGAGCTAGACATCTTCCAGTATTACATCTTCTGGTTTGCCTACTACGCGGTTTGCAAGGAGTCTCCAGCCGCCAAGACTTCCAAGACTGGGCTCTCTCGATCATCCCAGCTGCGCAGCCAGATCGAGAGCTGGGCTTCTTCCATCCCGGGGCTCCATCACTCTCACCAGGGAAGCTTGGTCTCGCCGCTTCATCCATACTTGCAGCTCCTCCAGCTCTATCTTTCACACTTTGTTGGTCCAGCGATGATCCGGAAAGACAAGCAAGTGATCTCACTATGGGAAGACTACGTCATCTCGCACGCCGACATACTCGTCCGGACTTTGATCGATTTTTGGCTCATTGACGACGATCCTTGTCCGTTCTCGCTCGCGGTGTGCCAGTCTTTGCAGCTCCACACTTTGCCGCCACCTTCGTCTTACGTGCCGCCAGGAAGAGATCTCATCGATGCCGTGAAGCTGCTCATCAACTATTTCAGTGCTCTTCTCCAAACGCAGATTGGTCACCACGAGCAGTTCTTTGCTTCGCCAGAGTCACCGGCTGGATTCAGGAGGAAAGCTTCGCTTCTGTCGGATTTGCGAGCAAGTTCCGCGCTGAATGCCAGTCCGTATCTGCAGTCGCTGCAAAGGCCGCTCTATCGGTTCTTTCTCCGGGCGTTTTGTTTGTGGCCGGTTGGGACGTCCCTGACCAAGGTGCTGCCGATGGTCGACCTGTGGCTGCACTACTTGGAACCATGGACGGCGATTCTTCTCGTCCCAAAGGACAGCAGCGTTCAGCCTGGCTCCAGAGTTGTTCTTGACGAGTCGAAGCGCTTCTACTCGGCATACTGGCAGGAATACGTTCTCTCCAACTATGGTTTCTACACGTCGCTGGTTTCGCACTTCCTGGATTTCGCTTTGAAGTTTCTACACGTCGACATGGAGCTGGTCGTCCAGGCAACATGCAAGGTGAACCCATCGCTCCACTTGCTATAGGTGGCTCCTATACATACACCCATAGAAACTGACCAGAACTGGTGAACTGATGGCGTCGTCTCTTTTTGTTGAAACAGGTTCTCGGTGTTTTGGCCAAGTCAGATGATCTGTTAGATCTTCTGCGGAGGGTTAATGCCGCGTACACGGAAAGCTTTCTCGGGAGGCATCACTATACGAGTAATCCTTTTGTTGACAGAGTCCCAATCATCATGGAACAGCTACAGGTAACTCTTTGCCTATCAAAACTTCCCGTTTTACTCTTTGCTTATCAAATGTTCCCGTATCCTTTCAGGATTGGGAAGAGGGGATGACAAATTCAGAGAAGGAGCATGGCGAGATCTTGCACTCGAGCATGCAGACCAGTGCCCCCCAGCTGCATTTATTTGGTGTGGGAGAATACGGAGGCCATTATGTCTTACAGGTGATATTTGTGAACTTTGGTATCTCTTTGCTAAACAGACTATTCCTTTCAGAGCATCATCTTGCTGGCGGAAGCGGAAAACCGAGCTTGCAACACCGACAAGCTGCCAGTATCTCCCAAGACCTTGAGAAATCTGAAGGAGCTAGTCCTGAAAGTTTTTGAGCGGGAGGTTTTGGGAAGGCAGCAGCCGCTGAGGTCGGACTCTGGCTCTCCACTCCCCGAGATGGTGATCCCGGAGACAAATCACTCGGAGGAGACCCCGGAGAGAAGTCCTGGACTCCAGAGGCACAGCGTGGCGGAGGTGAAGTACAAAGGCGATTGGATGAGACGTCCGATAGAAAGCCAGGAGATCGGGTGGCTTGTCCGGCTGCTGGTGGAGGTCTCGGACAAGCTAAACGGTTGCCTGGGATTTACCGGAGGCAGGGAATTGATCGAAGAACAGGGGTGCTCATCACACTCGCAGGTGCTCGACGCTGTTTTTCCCGAAGTCCTCAAGCCAGTGGCGAGAGCTCTACTCGCAGCTTTCCTCTTCGTGGTGAAGGAGTTGCGGAAGCGGGGATTTAGAATAAATTTGCGGCCACTAGCGAGCAAGCAGGCGATCAGTTCCGGGGCTCTAGCGCTCTTCTTCTACTGGCTGGTCAAGAAGATCGCGGGGTATTTCTTCAAATAATAGCCGTTGGATGGATGGGATCGACGGCTAAGGCGCTAGGGTTCTTTACGACGCTTGAGGCATATTCCATTGGCGGGTTTTTCAAATAAGTCCAACACGTGGCTTATCCGAGTGCTACGTGGCAAGGCCGTCATAACGTTGTGGCTTCCAAGGACGTGGCGTTTAGGGTTTATAGCACAAGAAGAGGCGGCAGGAAGCATCCAGGCAGGTTGAGGGATATCACTTTGGAGTTTTTGGTCACTGTGGATTGAAAATGGAAGAGTTTTCATCGTCTTCGTCGGGATCTCTCTGCGTTTTGGAGCAATGGCGATCGGGTGGTCTCGTTGGTGTTTGTTTTATTGATGGATTCGGCCGGGATCAATGCAGGGAGTGGCCGGGAATTGTTTCGAGCTTGTGCGGAGAGCCATGGTGGGAGCTTTGGAGTCGCAAGCAGCTATCAGTCTTGCGACGTTTGGGGGAGTGAAGAGACCTCAGTTGCCGATCAATTTTTTCAAGTTTCCTGCCGCCACGCGCCTCAAGGCTGTGCAACAGGTTTGTCTAGCGTCATTTTCGTTTCCACAAGAAAAAAAAGCTCTCTCATGTTCGTTCTTTGCAAATTTGATTTCTCTTGCAGTACATAGGCTGCTTTGAGTACCGGATAGCGCTTCAGCCACACTACAATGTTAATAAGTACAGGCCACTGGCAAAACTTATGGACACTGCACAGATGGTTAGTTTCTTGAGAGTTTGTAGCGATTAGTTCTTCAGGGTTGGTTTTTATTTTTGTTTCTCTCTTTCCAGATGATTCACAGTCCTCAGGCAATTAAATGCGTTGAAGGTGTGATTTTGGCAATTTATCTCACCGTAAGCTTTCGACATCTTTGTTGGGAAGTTCTTAATGCGTGCTTGCTTTTGTGGAGTAAGGCCGGACTCCAAGGCGTGGAACGACTTCCCGTGGGTTTTGAGACTGAACAAGACACGAAGGTACATCGTCCATATGATATCTGCGGTGGTTTTCTAAAGAGGTTTTTTGTATGAGCTACAGATCCATCAGCACATCATTCTAGTGGTGCGCAATGGAAAGAAGTTTGGTGCGTTTGGGATGAGCCGCGAGGCCGACTTGGCAGGAAGAGAGATTGAGTTTGATAGGTTCTCGTCACAGCTCTTAAGTTTGTCCTTCTACATCCTTTTAAATTTTTGCAGCTTCTCAAGTATTGTTTCTGATTACAAACGAGCCTACGAAGGCCATCGCCACACCATCCAGAAGCTATGGGTTGGACTGCCGGTAATCTTTCTTTTTCTGTTTTGGAAACTTGAACCATTTAAACTTTTAATTTGTCCTCCTTTTTTATCAAGGTGGAACTCAATGTCGAGTCTTATAACTACGTTTGCTGGCGGTATTTGACACTCACGCCAAACTTGCAACCATGGATAGAGGTAATTCTTTGCGCATACTTCTCTAAAGTGACTAAAATTCTTACTTACAGTGCTGTGCCGAAATGGACAAACACTTCTCGCAATCGAAAAAACTCTGGGAAAGGTCAGTCTACCTTATAGACAACCATGCTAATATTTTTCTTAAATTCTTTCCTTCTTTTCCTTAGATGGCTGCTCGAGGGACAGGGAGAAATCCCAAAGAACCAAAGCATCTATAACAACGCCAAGAAACTGGATATAAACGCTGTTCCCAGAGCTGCAGGCGCGATCTTGAGGATTCCAAGGCCGCCTTCACGCTCGACGATCTTACCATCGATCGTGAACCTCAACGATGAGGCTACTACTCCTGGTAAGAAAAGCGCTGAAAGTTAATTAGCTAGGTAGAAACTGGAAGAAAAAACAAAAGCCAGAGAGAAGAAGACCAAAAAAGCGCTATCTTTTCCCTGACTGAATTTACAGTGCCATCGCGAGTGGGTTTTCATGAGATCCCGTCCATCAGATATTTCCACGACTAACTTTTAATGGGAGTTTTTTTATTCTACCTTTAACTTAACCCCGCCTTTTATCGTGTGACGTCTGCCCTAGTTTCTTGTTTCATGTGAAGAGGTCCATCGTCGAGGGTTTGGAGATCGCGTGTCCGCGTCGGCGCTTCCGGTTTGCCTCGATCCCTGGGAATTTCTCACAATGCAGGGCTGAATCGCCGGGGATTGATGTCATCAATGCGTGGAATGCTAAGAATGCGTCGCAGATTCGCTGCCGCTGCTACGAATGGAGCTCTCAAGTCGTACTCTGTCGCGGCGGAATCCCAGGTGCGATTGCCAGATGAGTTGTGTTGTGTAGTCGAGCGAAGAATCGTTCGAGAATTTGTAGTCGAGAGAATCGTTAGAGAAATTCGTCCAGTTTGGTATTGTTCTTTCTTGTGATTCTTTGTTCTGTTTCCTTTGCTGATACATATCTTCGTTTTTGGTCAGGGCGTTGGGCTTTGTCCCTATGGACGTCGTGAGCATATGAAGCTTCTCATGGAGTTCTTCCAGAAGAATCTTCCCAGAGCGTGTACTTTCCTGGCCCCGTCGACGAACTTTGCATCAGCGTCGTACCGATTTCCTGTCAGGAAGTTCCAGTTTAGATCGTCGTCTGTGCAAACAATCGGGCCGAGATGCTGCGCTTTGCCCGTCAGATATTTCTCGAGCACTCCATCGCCAGAAGCACTAGATCGGCTAAGTTGCTGCAGCCACAAGAGGGACTCCGACTCCGACGATGAGACCGAGTCTCTGGGGCGGTGTTCTTACGTCCAGCCTCCAGGTAATCGGGAAGAGGCAACCGAGAAACTCCAGGAGGAATTCGAAACTGCGATGAAGTGCTTCGAAGACGCTCCACCATGCCTGGACGACATTCCGAAGATAAATCCCAATGGTAGGTGAGTATATTTGCGTTTTCATCTTCTAGCTGCTCGAGAATTGTGTCTAATGCTCGGGTTTTGCAGGTGTTTATGCCAACCATAACTTGCGCTTGGATCTCATCAGCGTCTATGGATTTGACTACGACTTCACGTTAGCTCACTACACTGCGAGTTTGCAGCATTTGATTTACGACCTTGCCAAAGAACAGCTTGTAAAAGAGGTATTTGCGGTATTTTATTTTCTTTGCACAACGATTTAGGCTGATATCTTCTATGAACAGCTGAAATATCCGGAGTCATGCTTGGATTTCAAGTATGATCAGAGTTTTCCAATAAGAGGGTTATATTACGATAAGAAACGGAGCTATCTGCTGAAGCTAGACTTTTTCCACTGTGCGGAAGTTGCGAGCTGTTTCTTTGGCCGCCGGCGTGTAAGTGGATGTTTCTTTCTGTTCCTTCTTAACAGTGAGATTTCAGTTAACGCATGAGGAAGTCGAGCAAGCATATGGAGGAAAGCATATAAGCCCAGAGAACTTAAGTAACCTCGTCCCTCTTATGGATTTATTTTGCTTGAGCGAGGTACATTTTTTATGTTTATTTTTTCTTCTTGCTATCGATGTTATTGTCTATACAGGTCTGCCTTCTCTCCGATGTTATTCAACATTTCGTAGATCAAAAGCTCCAGTTTGATCCTGGTTATGTGTACGAGGACGTAAGACGCTCTGTTGAGAATATCCATCGAACCGGACTTTTACATAAACTTGTCCTTGAACGCCCAGAGGAGTACCTTGTGAAAAATGTAAGAACTTGGCTTTCTGTTCTCGCATTTTAAGCGCTTGTGAATACAGGAAGCTGTCACCCGGATGCTAAAAAGGCTTAAAGAGATAGGAAAAAAGACGTTCATGATCACAAACTCTCCTTTTCCGTTTGTAGATGGAGGGATGAGATACTTGTTTCAGGTAAACGGACTGTCTTTTGATTTTCCTGTCATAACATTGTTTATATGCGTAGGAAGACGGAGACGACGGAAGCTCCTGGAGAGAGTTGTTTGATGTTGTTGTGGCTCTATCAGATAAGCCAAACTTCTATTCCTCTCAACGACCATTCAGGTAATGTTTATTACGTACATAGCAAAAGATTTAATGAATACTGTGAAACAGGCATTACGATATAGAAGCCGACAGCCTAACCTTTAACAAGGTGGAGGAGTTTGAACCTCATGCTGTTTATTACCATGGATGCTTGAAGGACTTTCTTCAAATCACGAAGTGGCGAGGAACAGAGGTGTGAAGGTTTTGCACTGGACAGCTTTAAAATGCTTAACATTTGCAGGTCCTGTATTTTGGAGATCACTTATTTAGTGATTTACGAGGCCCTTCAAAGGCTGGATGGCGCACGGCTGCTATAATTCGGGAGCTTGAGGTCTGTCTTGAGATATAAATCAGTATAAAGCAACTCATGTTCCACTTTCAGAGGGAGATCGCTACACAAAATGAAGATGAATATCGCATCCACCAGGTATTTAAAAGGGCCTAGCTGTCTTATCGTAAACGTGATAGTAATCTGTTAACAGGCACGATATCATATGGTTCAAGAGCTGCTTGGCAAATATCACGGCTTGCCTGTGGGACCTAGAAGGGACAAAGAAAAAACTCTTCTCCTGGCATTAAGAAAGGAACGCTTGAATGCGAGATTATCGATGAGCCAGATGTTCAACCGCTACTTTGGTTCAACGTTCCTCACAGATACTGGCAAAGAGTCGGCTTTCGCATATAACGTGCAGAAGTACGCGGACGTGTATACAAGCCGCCTTGAGAACTTGATGACATATTCCAGTGAAGCGTGGCTCTATACCCCGTTCGACGTGAAGATTTTGCCGCATCATATCAAGGTACTCATGTCTAGTGGTTTTTCTCTGATTGTTCACTAATTCGTGTTTCAAAAGCTTGTGTGTGACTACAGGTCGGGCCGTCTAAAGTTTTCAAGGATTGGCCATTTGAATCCTACCCAGCATAGTGAAGATCAGCTGTAAGCAACTTATGAGACTTTTTTCGTAACTGCTAATTTGCAATGTTTCTAGTCATGAACACCTGGAGCCACAACTGGAAATGGCGGATCGCTGATGTGGATAGATTGGACGAGACACGACTTGTGGAAACGGGGAACAAAAAATAACGAAGATAGGTACCGTTTTGGAGTTAAGTTTCGTGGAGAAGTTTTGGGAAGCTCCGCTGTATGTTGTCTCCAGCTGAGACTCTGTCCTCTTGGGCTTCCTCCACACTAGGCCGGTTATGGAGGAGGAGGACTAGTACTGGCGGAATTGTAGAGGAACCAGCGGTAGCAGGAAATCCGATAGGTGGGGAATCAGGAACTTCGAGTGGAGCAGCAGCTCCAGAATCAACAATGGTGCTGCGATCGCAATCTAGAAGAAGGAAAACTCCGGAGCCGTCTATCGTGCGTCGTCGCAGAAGACCAGGAGGCAAGGTAAGATCTTTGTTTTGTTTTGGTTCTTCGTTTTCTCGCTTGGATTTCTCATTGCGCGAGTGACTTGTTGTTTACAGGGACGCAGGAGACGACGGAGAAGACGCGCGAAAACTCACTCAAGTCGTTCGTGATCCATGGAACCATTCTTTCAATCAGAGCTGGGAAAATCTAGCTTTTAATGCGAGTTTATAGAGCTCTCTCGTGTCTATCGAGCTAGGGGTTTAGGTTTTTGAAATATTTGAGCGATGGAGCGCGCGCTCTACACATCGATCTCCGCGGCGCTGGAGCCGCTGGTGATGGCGCATCTCTTCTCGCGAAAATGCCGAGGTCTGGAGCATCCCACGCGATGGAAGGAGCGCCTCGGCTATCCCTCGCTTCCTCGCCCCTCTGGAACCCTCATCTGGTTCCACGCCGTGTCGCTAGGTCGGTTTCTTTCTTCCTCTGCGATCGATCGTTTTTTTCTTTGGAATTTTTCAAGGTTTTCTTCGCTCATGGATTCTTTCTTTGTTGGAATTCTAGGAGAAGGGCTGTCAGCCATACCGATCATCGATAGATGCTTGCAAATACATCCTTTCGTTAACGTTCTTCTTACTACTGGGACTTTGACAGCATTGTGAGTAACTCCAAGTACATTTCGCGATTTATCCAATGTGTTCGTCTTCTTTTCCGTAGCAATGTCCTCCGGAGCAAACTTTCTCATGGTGTAATCTTCCAGGTACTTTTCTCTGTTAGCTGTTATATGGTTTGCGAAGTTCTAAAATACGATTGGAAAGTTTGTTCCGGTGGATACTCCAGCAGCGGTGGACAGATTTTTGAGTCACTGGAAGCCACAGGCTGGTATATTCATGGAAAGTGAGCTTTGGCCAAATCTTCTCTTGTCATCGTCCTCGAGAAAGGTGCGTGATCGTTGAAACTGTGGAATTGAAGTTTTACTTACCTTGCTTCCTGTGCAGATTCCTATGGCTCTGTTGAATGCGCGGGTATCTGAGAAATCTTTCACTCGATGGTCTTGTTTCACCTCGAAGTCGCTTGTGGGTGAAATGCTTGGAAGTTTTTCTTTGATATGCCCTCTGGTATGCTTTGGAAGTTTTTGGTCCTTTGCCTGACCAACTTTATATTCTACTTGACAAGGTAGAGCACCAATGACGCGGTACATCTGCAGCTTTTGGGTGCGTCTCCTGGCGTCATACATTTCTCTGGAAATTCGAAATACGGTGGGTAGTGGTATCACAAATTCGTTGACACCATGTATTTTTCCAGCATGGGGAGCATCTCAGGACAAGTCGCAAATGGAAGATCTCCTGCTAATGAAACGAAAAGTCTGGCTAGCATCGTCGACACATGCTGGTGAAGAGGAAGGTACAGCTCTGTTTAGGACTTACAAAACTCCATCTCATATACCACCGGGGGCTCTAGTTATTGCAGAGGTGCACTTGACACTCAAACGAACATTTCCAGAAATTCTTACAATCCTCGCACCACGGCAACCCAGTCGTGCAGAGTCAATCATGATGGTTAGATACAATATCACTTGTTTTTATAAGTTTTAACATTTTCTTTCAGGTGCTGCGAAGCCATGGATTGAAGGTTGCACAGAGGTCCATCAACGAGAATATTTGCCTAAATACTGACATCTATCTCGCAGATACCGTAGGTACGTGATTCTAGAGCGTTTCTCGGTTTTTCTCTTCTAAAACTCTTGTCTTCCAGGTGAATTGACAAGACTTTACAACTCTGTTCCAATAGCTGTTGTTGGTGGCTCGTTACTAAAAGGTTTAGCTGGTCACAACATGGCGGAGGCTGCAGCATGCGGTTGCGCTGTTCTTACAGGTTGAGAAGTTTCCATACTCCGATCTAAGCTAAAAGCATTTCTATCTAAGAACAGGAACACACTTGGGTCACTTCTCCAAAATGCTGAAAGAAATGCAGTCGATCTCTCCATTATCCATCTTACAAGTAAGGAGCTTTGTTTCTCCATTTACCCAATTCTCATTTTCTTTTCTCAAGGTTTCCTCCGCGGATCTAGCGTCCGCCTTGATGGAGCTTTTCTCTGACGAAGGAGTTCTACGACTTCGTAGGAAAGCCGCAAAAGCAGCTTCAACCACTGCGGCTGCTGGCATCATCGACAATATCTTCAAGCTGCTAGAGCTCACCATATTCCAAGGTGTGTATTGCGACACTCTCATGGGTTTAGGGTTTAGTGAGAGGAAGCAGGGGTCTATGGTGAATGCAATCCACTTGGAAGAGAATGCCGGTGGTACTGAGACGCTCCTCTCTTTTTTACTTCCAGGAATCGCGATGGGAGGCGAAGTTCCAGCAGCTACGCACGATGGTGAGTGCTCCAAAGATGGGTCCTCCTCCTGCTGGAAGAAGGATGATGATTCCCAAGGCCCAGAAGAGGATGAAGATCTACGACTTGGACGAGGCACTGATCATGTACAAGAAGTTCCGGGATATTGTCAAGCTCAGGGACTTGCTGGAGATGTCGCAGGGCCATGTCCTTAACCTCCATGCACTGGGAAGGCTCAAGGGAAGATTCAAACTCGACCCGGCAAGCAGGATTTCATCGTATCCAGACGCTCATCCGGGCGTGGTGAAGCTCACGACCGACGCAGACGGCTGGAAGTGGCTCGAATTTACAGACGAGGCCGAGGACTTGATAGCCGAGAAGGGGATCTACATGAGAGAGGTTCACGAGGCACAGGTGGTCAAGTGGATCCGGAAGATGCTGATGATGTCGCAGACTCGAAGCATGCCTCTGATGCGGCTCCAGCACCTCAGGAACGTTCTCTTCCTGCCACCGGACTTCAAGTCGAGGATCATCCACGCATATCCGCAGTACTTCCGGGTGACGACCGTGAGGGGGGCTCTCACTCTCGAGCTCGTGGAGTGGGACGAGTCGCTGGCGGTGACTTACAGGGAGCAGAGGCTGAGAGACAACGCTCTGGAGCTGGACGAGCTCATGGGCGACACGAATCCTCACGCGTTTCCGATGTCGTTCCCGACCGGCTTCCACCTGAGGAAGAACGTGAGGGAGTACTACGAGACGTTTCAGAAACTCCCGTTCCAGTCGCCTTACGAGATATGCCGGACGATCCATGGGACGATGGAGGCGGAGAAGCGGAACTTGGCCATCGTCCACGAGATACTGAGCATGTACGTGGAGAAGCGGGCACAGATCGCGCAGATCGCGGTGTTCCGCAAGGACTTCAAGCTCATGAGCTCGCTCCGGGGGCTCATCGAGCGCCACCAGGGGATCTTCTACACGTCTTACAAGGAGGACCTCTTCACGGTCTTCCTCAAGGAGGCTTACAGCGGCATGAGACTGATCGATCGCAGTCCGCTGCTGGACTTCCGGGACAGGTTCATAAGGCTGTGCTTGATCCAGCCTCGGGAGAAGCGGCTGGATCCGCGAAGAACTTCTCCCGAGAATGTGGAGAAGCGGCTCCGGCAGATGGACACGATCAAGGAGGAGGTGGGGAGAATGGACTGCGAGGGGAAGATATCATGCAAAGGATCCAAGAGGGAGATGAGGAGGTGCCTGGCGAGTGGACACGAGGTGGAGATACTCGGGGAGGATAGAAACGCAAGGTGGAGGAGGCCGAGGGTGCTGTTCGAGGAGATGATGGACAAGACGCCGGACTACAACATCACAGAGCTGGAGAAGGCGCTGTATAGATTCAAAGGGAAGGCTGATAAGTGGCCAAACCGGGAAGATGGAAGCTGTGAAGGCTTGGATGACGACGACGACGGTGACTCCGACTTTGAGTGGTGAGAATTTTGGTGGTGGCAGGAGAGATCGATCGAGCTAGCTAAGATTCAGTGAAGAAAACTCGGAGAGATGATCATGGATATGATATACTAATATTCGTGAAAGTGGATGTTGTCTTCTATCTTAGAAAAGCCACCATGGACTGGATGATTTTGTTCTTCCTTTCTTGAGGAAGTTCATGCTGGAATCGAACCCGGCTCTGTTCCATGGCATTTTTCAGTTAGCTAGATTAGCAAAAAAGGATAGAAAATCTTTTGTGTAGACACTATATAAAGGAGTGTTTAGGGGAAGTTTAGTTTTAACGATGAGCAAAAGGTTGAGCTAACAATCAAGAAGGCATAAAAAATTTAATCAAGAGAGTGGACAATGAATTTTAACTATATGATCATTTAGTCCGAGAAGTTGATCTCATGCCCACGAGAACGTCATAAAAGTTCTCGAGAAGAACATGCAGTTTACGTGGGGAGAGCTTGTAATACACCTTATTGAATTCCTTGATTTCCAATAAGTGCTGGATTAAAGAAACTATGCGGCAGCTCTTAGTGGGCTTGGCGAGCTTGCATGAGCGAGAGTTGTGCATAAGGACATGAGTGTCTCAAATTTGAGCTCAATGGAAACAACTTTGTGGTGAATTTGGGAGATTTTAGCTGCGCAAGGAAGCACCAACTATACATATTGGATCACTGGGATTTAAGGCTCCTGAAGTTATCGCTAGAGAGATTGAGAAGTTTGGGACAGGTATAGACATGTGGGGTGCTGGAATGGTGTTTGCAGTGTTGCTTTTGGGAAAGAAGCCTTTTGGTGGCCATAGAAATTATTATTTGAGCTGAGAAGAGGATGAGGCAAAGGTGATGGACAAGATTCTGAGAAGAATTTGTTTAATAAAATTGAAGACAAGGATGCTGTGAATTTGTTGCAGGGTTTGCTTGGATAATAGGCTTACAGCGGCACAAACTTTAACGTCGATGTATATTAGGGAACCTCGCAATGTTCTCCTTGATCATAGGAACTTTGGAATGGATTTTTGACCATATTAAGCTCACAGCACCGTCCATAAGCACATTATCATACTCTGGACACCCAACAGTGTCTCCTCACTGCCAATGATCCGCAACTTTTGGACAAGCCGTCTGGGTTGTATGGCGTCTCGAGTTGACACAAAGATGCAAAACTCCTCGTAATTCACAAAGCCTTCGAATGGAAGCTGTATGTCATCGCTGACAATCACTGGAATGCACAGGCTTGCGATGGCATCGTAAAGCCTGCATGAAGCGCTGTCCTTTTTCTCGTACAGAAGTACCTATAAACAAAACGAGTTCCATAGGGACTATCAATCTTAAAGAAAAAGAAAAAGGCGTCACAAACCAGTATGGAATGCCTCCTAGGCAATAATAAGCAATGAGGATGAAAAATCAAGAGAAAAAAGGATTTCGAGCTTTAGCTTGAATTTACACTCACATTCTTCTTCCAATCCAAGATGGTTATAGTCAAACTGGAAGACACTTTTAAAACCATTTCAAGGAAACCATAAGAGTTACCTTATGTTGCATGGAGGATC